CTCTCTATTTCGAGGCCTGCATAACTATGCATTATATTAAACAGCGAAGGTGAAGCTTAAACTTCTTTCGAAAATTTAATTTCAAGTTCAATCTAATTTGAAGCTAATTTGAATATGAAGCAGCGACACATACTTACATATACCTACTTCAATTTATAGGTAAGTAGAAAAAATAATTATGTAACAAGTCCAGAAACTCCGATGGTAGTTTGTAGGAATAGAACCCGGTAGCGTTGTCGAAACATAATTGAGGAGCTGGCGAACAAAACTGTATAATTACGCATCTGGTCAAACTACTTTTTTTTACAGTCCGGAGGTATCGGGCCCGTTAAATTTGAATCTCAAATATTTTTTTATTAAAACCGCTTAAATAGCCAGTGTTAAAATTACTAAATTTATAAATTAAAAACCTTGCCTAATGCTCACTGGAGGTATGTCATTCAGTTTTATACAGCTCCTGTTAAATTTAATTTTATGTAATTATACCGTTTTGTTCGCCAGCTCCTCAATTGTAAATAACAAAACTTATATATTGTTAAATAAATAAGAAATAATGAAATATAATTAAGATGCTGGTTACACTATTGGCCGAATTATGAACGCTTAAAGCCACTTTTAACAAAATACCATTACTTTAACAAGTCTAAAGTCCATGTTTTAGCCCACACACCTTTAAGCAACATTAGGCAACGGAAAACTGTTAGCAATGACTGCCTGGGTGAGCGTACTACTTATGTGGTACTATGTTGATTGCATACTCACTTCTACTATATCATTTACGGTAGACATTACCCAGCTGTATATAATAATTGATTTTCAAAAATTTACCACAACTTTAACCATATTGTTACATCATAACAAGCATCATTTTCTGCGTCTTCTATTAAAAAAAATATATTTTAAAAGTAGGTAACAAATCAGCTGTATTATCGTACTATTTTTTTTTTATTTGAAACACGATAATTAAAAAAACAATTATTAACGAATTATAACAAGGACAATGATATATTATAAACTTCTTGTTTATATAATATCATTGAACAAGGACTTGTTTTTTTACATCTATGTTTCAATAGTAGGTACAACAAATAACGGAGTAAAAATACAAACTACAACACTAATAAGGGACTAAAAATGCTGATGTTATGTACTTGTAATATATTTTTTTTTTTATCTTAAAAGCGTGGCATACAAGCGTACAGCCCGCCTAAAATTATGCGGCCATCATAGTTAAGAAAATTTCACAACCGATTGAGAAGGTTTTATCTCAGGATCATATCACATTCATTCGCCAAAGGATATCATTATGCTTCAAAAATAAAATAATAAGAAGTCAACAGAACTTGTTTTTGAGTGATATTCAAGATTTGCACCTGTTCCTTGAGGCGAAACATTGAAAAAAGACAACGTTTCAAGTTTGAAGCAAGTTTTACTGGCTCACCATCAAACTTAAGTAGAGCATTAATTTTTGCGATTAGGACAAGTTCTCTTTTATTTTTAAATACTATTTCGTGATTTTCAGTGACCAGTTTAATATGAGTCCATTACTTTGTCTAATCTTAGTGTCTTGAATGAGTAACGATTTTCCTGTTTTATTTAGACAAATAAGAATATTAAATTCTACGCCTTATGAATATCAATAGAACAATAATAAATTATTTGTTGTGTAAGAGTAAATTACCTAGCTACAAAACATCAAACACCAAAGAGATAAAGGTCTTCAAAACTTTTAAGTATTGTCTCCACTCCATAACAATACAATACAATGGGACATACAATCACAAGACGTGGATATTTTCTCATCAAGACTATTCAAGATACATCAATTCACATTTAAGAAATGTTTGCCTATTTAACTTCTTTATGATAAAATACCATTCGACTTAAAAATTCTAAACATGAACAGGTTTAGAAATTGACTATACAAATGGCTAAATGGACATAATTTCTATGATTTGAAAAGTTTTATCAATCAGATAAATTCATGACATGTACTAATTATCCTATAATAATTATGATGAAATGTACCTTTTTTATTTTACATGTTGAAGCCTTGTAATATTAATATGTGACTTTTTATATTTTATTGACATAATATTATGTAACTCTAACTCTTTGACATCCATTATTCTGTAGCAAAATGTTGTAATAAAATGTTTTTTTGTTTTCCATATGTATTTGCATGCTGTTTTATAATAACTAAACACGTACTCATATCACTTTATGTAATACCTTTATACCGTGTTTACAGCGTATAAAGATTATGACTATGATTGTATATCAATTTTACTTTGAGCGCTACTTCTTGGGTGAAATAAAATGAAATATTGTCCCAAATCAACTTAGTAATAAAAATACAAGCTAGCGAGATGTTATCCTGACTACAAATAAAATTGTGTATTCCGATCCATGCACTGAAATCCGAGAACAATAAATTGATCCTTAAATAGATGTGACTGTTAAATGTTGCCATTCCGTCTGTCCGTCGTGCGAGAAGTTCAATGCGAAAACGTGCAAAAGGAAGACGAGACTTAGGTATTTTTAGATGCACACTCTAAAGCTGGGAGTATACTGATGATCCCGACCGATTTCAAATAAAAATATGCGAGAATCTAACAACTACGATCTTATCTAATCTAATCGACTCTAGTGAACTCACTTTATTTTCCTGCTTGTAAACTAAACAACTCTGTCAACGCTGATTAAAGTCCTGTTGGGTGGTGGGAATTATTGTGTAATATTCGATATACTTAGATACTACTAATTTCAACGTTTAAATAACAAAATTAATTGCCTAAATAATGGAATTGTGAGAAATGATTCTTCATTTTTCTGTGTTCATAATGAAGAATACCATTGTATTCCAAAATATTATGGTTAAGAGCTGATAATGTAGATTTTATAGGTCAGTCAGCCAATTTAAATTCAATATAAATTCAACAGATAAAAAGCACTACACCCTTTTATACCCCCAGTCAGTTCATAAGTTTATCATTTAACCTAGACCACATTGTACATTTGAATTCTCATTCATGACGTTTGACTGGGAATTCAAAAGTACAATTCGGATTTTATTGTTAATGTGAAATCGGCTTAAGTCGTTTAATTTAACACTTTATAGCCTGGCAACACTGACGCATTGCGCGGCTTTTATAGCAAGACAACCGTTCCTACATATATTATCTTCAAAGGGCATTACAAGTATCTGTTTAACATTCAGGATATTCAGGGAATTGCCGGTTAAATTATATCCCACAATTTTAGATAAAGACTTATAACTTATAGTTAAGTGTTATAACACAAAACTCTATACCTATTTAATTACCATTAACAAAAAATCTCGTATTCGCACATTTAAAAAAAACCTAAAATGCAAACTCTACGAACTTCTATATATCATTCAGCTTGATACCAAGGCTGAGTGAAATTTATTCTTAAAAATTAAAATATAATATTTTTCATCAGTTAGTTAACCTTGAACCTAGAATTCACATGCATCCCGGCACTGGCCGTGATCTTCGCCTCATCACTCCGCACAATGTGTCTCCCACGTTTTTATCATAGAACGTGCTGGCTGCCGACCCGATCCGTGTCAACGATAACTAGAATGACTTCTTGTCACAATTAACGCTAATTATTACATTACCATCTGTCGCACCTTTTTGTTCAGCCAATCGCTCTCGTCACAAGACATAATCATTATCGATGGTAATTTGTTTTGTAATAAACGTTTAAGTGGCTCTGTATTGATTGTAATGTGTTTATCATTATTATTATTATAGTCAATTACGATAACTTTTTCTTATCGATTTTCTTTTTACTGCATTTTTTAGTCTTAAAGATAGTTAAACATATTCTGAGTAAATCTTAAGAAAACTTCACTAGAAAAATATCCACTGGGTCCAAGTTTCAAACAGGAGTAGAAACCAGCACCTTCCGCAATCCGGACGGTTCGATGTTTTTTTAGTAAAGTATTTATAGATTTATAAATGTAGCAGATAAATGCTTAGGAATACTTAAAATAACCATTTTTTGGCCGTTATAGCCGTTGTCACATCAAATTGATCCTGCAACTACGTTGAAAAAATAAATCTTATCCAAAAAATATGAACAGATAATTTCAGCATGAGCGCTAATCAGATTTCAAGGATAATAGTATACTCATTTTTTTTATCATTTTCTCTATCCGTCCACGGTCATTTACCGACTAAAATTTAGATTGTTATCGTGCATAATTTAAACATGCATAAGCAGAACCTCTCGGTTCCCAGACTATTGGTGTGACAATCGCTTAAAGAGACAATGGGTGGTGCCCCACCTCAGTCGACGTCGGAAAATGGCGGTGTCCGATCCGCCATCCATTGTGACAATTGTTTACCAATTCGCGTCCGCCGTGGACCCCATTGACACCAAGCATTGTTTACCACGTCCCAAAGACAGTTCATAGAATGAACTTTGATATTTAACACCGCCTTTGTAAACTGACATAGGAAGTTAAAATTTTACATGAACAAGTAAATTAACTTACTTAATAAATACAAGTAGCTTCTGTAGTTTCTATTGAAAACTGGAATACTTGTACATACCTAGGAATGCTTGTACATATCTAGTTCAGAACATAGGTACTACTACTAGTAGTAGTACCTGTAGTAGCTCTGGAATCTAGACTTTAACAATAGTAAAAGCATGATTCCATTTGGAATATCCACAGAGAAATAGCCAGCTAGTATGAGTTAAATTCGAAACCTTGCCCGTGAGGAGATGGAACAAAAAATATCGAAACAAATACCTTTCTTCAATTTTTCTCTCTTCTTGCGGTTTGATCTCGTCTCGTCTTGTCGTGGTTACGACACACCTATTTTTAAAATACGTAGTAAAATTAATCTTTTTCGTGAACAATCGTATTATTTCTGAACTAGATAAATACCTACACACAGGATAAGAAACCTATCTTTTAAAATAAAACCATCACCTAAAACGTCTTCTTTCATTTGTTACAGTTTGTCTGGAACATGTTCGCGCATTGAGTCAGGTGGGCCATGGATCCTCTGACGTGGCTATCGTTGGGGCTGCAGCTGGCAGCGCTGTGCTCCATCGTAGGCGCCTTACTGCTATACCTGCTGCGCAAGGTCAGGGTGGCGGAGGTGCTTCCAGTGGACAGCGCTAAGACTGTCCTCGTCACATCTGTGGACACCGCCCTTGGGTTGCAGGTATTATGCAATTCATTTATTACAATATGTCAGCGGAACATGTTCACGCTTTGAGTCAGGTGGGCCATGGATCCTCTGTTGGGGCTGCAGCTGACAACACTGTGCTCCATCGTGGGTGCTCTACTGTTGTACCTGCTGTACAAGCTCATGGTGGTGAAAGTGCTACCCTTCTTTCATTTGTAGACAGCGCCAAGACCATCCTTGTCACATCTGTCAATACCGCCCTTGAGTTGCAGGTTTTATGTAGTCCATTTGTTAGAGTTTGTCAGTAACATGTTCGCGCTATAAGTCAGATGGGCCATGGATCCTCAGACGAGGTTGTCGTTGGGATTGCAGCTGGCAGCTCTGTGCTCCATCGTGGGTGCCCAACTACTGTACGAATACCAGGCGATAATACCCTAGTGTTGCAGGTATAACGAAATGACAATGTATATTTTAAGGATACTAAGCGGTAAACAACACATCTATTCTTAAGTTATAAAGTTGAAGAGTTTTGTTAATTTTGTTGAACGCGCTAATCTCAGAAATCATTAGTGCAATTTATAAAAATCTGCTAAAGGCTATATAACATCACGTTACTACCAATAAAAGCATCAGAGCATCAATGAAAAATGCTGTAAATATCAGGAAAAATATTCCTTTTCATACAGTTTTGAGAAATCTGCAAAAACACCAAGTTACGCAAAAATCATTTCCGAATGAGAAAATCTTTCCCTTTAAAATTTCTTCGAAATATGCGACTTCATATTTAGCAGGGCCGGCCTTTAAAAATGGTAAAAAGTTTAAAAAATAGAAAGAAAATCTAGCAAAAAAATAAAAAGTGAGTGTCGTGGAACACTTGGTTGGAACAAAGTTAAAAATAAACATAAGTGTAAGTACCAATGATTTGAGGTCGGGGTTAAAAAAAGACATTAGGTACTATGAAAATATTTTAAGAAAATGCAAAAACGTCACGTCGTCCTTATTATTTTAAAAAAGTCGATTGTTTCATTTTTCAAAGATATTTTTGGGTAAGGGAAAAAGTGTAAACAAATATAAAAGTTGTACATCTTTTAAACCACCTACAACTATGCCATTAAAATCTTTTTTGTTAGGGTTTGTAGTTTTCCTGAAATCGTGATAATCCGTTTTTCGCTCTTAAAAGTTCACCCCTCCCGACCCCAAATCGCCAGTAAACTATTTTCCTGTTTTTGATATGTTTTATCTTCCTTTTGCAATAAGTGTCATCCTGTTTAATTTTTTTGGTCTCAATAATTATCGGTAGGTACCTTTTTCTGGTGATTAAATTGTTTCTAAAATAATGCAATAATTTTAAATTCTGAACGGTTTTTCTCTGTAATTTCAAAATTGTTATTGCACGTTATCAAATCGTGGGTGAAACCGCGGGATGAGTCCAGTTTTTGATAAATTATATCTAATACTAACCGAAGTCTCATTAGAACGGCCGGCGTACCTGGAAACCTTATAAGAATAAATGTGGCTTTTCCGCGCCGACTCAAATGTTCTTTTAATTAATCTTATTTGTACCTATGAAGACACTACTGTGTGACTTTAACATTTCACATGGAAATTTCCATTGCCTGATCCTTGAACTTCCAAAAAAGATGCTACGTCGAATAAAATAAACATGTAGTCGAAATAAAAATGAAATTCATAGTAACTAACTTTTCAAAGAAATAATTGCCAAAGCAAACTTTTCCAAAATTTTTAGACAAACAGTAAACCATTTATTCCAGTAATCCCCATCGGAGGGGAGTTCGGAATACTCAGCAAAAAATATTATGTTCAAACTAAATAGAGTTATGTGGAAACTAAAAATTCAAGAAATTAAAGGTTCTTTAAAATTTATTTATGAGCCTTGTGAGCTAACAAAAAATCCAAAAGCAGCACAAGTGATAAAATTACATTAAAATAAAATAAATAACATGCCTAATAAAACAACAGCATAAAAATATAAACAACACAACCACGGAACACAAAATGAAAATTCAATACATAGAAAATTTTATAGCATGTCACAAAGTATAGATATCACAGTAAATTACAAGTCAAAATTAATAATATAAAGTTACAAAATTATTTAAAAAAACATAGCATGGCTGATTTATATTCATATAATAAACACATTATTATTTGTCCTCATCACACAAACAAATGACCCTGCCGGTATTCAAAACCAGAAACTTTAGAGTGAAAGGCAGAAGCGCTGCCAAGTATTGAACCAAAGTCAAGCGTTTAGATGTTTATCTTTGTGTCAAACCAATATGGTTTTGGCTCTAGAAACTAAATATACGCAACGGAAAAATTTAAATATACTTAAATATCTATAGAAATAGATATTATAAATGCACTTTCGCTCGCAGATTGCAACGTACCTAAGCGGCAAGGGGTGGCGCGTCATCGCCGGTTGCAGGCAAGGTGGCCTCGGTTCGAGGTTAGCCGAGTCCTGGCTCCAAGCTCACGCAGCTGCCACGCCTGAAGACCAGCCGCCGCCCAGGCTAGCCACCTTAGAACTGGACGTGGCGAGGGAAGATCTATTAGAAGAAGCCGCGAGGGCTACAGCTCAGCATTTACCCGCTGGAGAACATGGTAAGTGGCAAATAAAAGAAAATCTATATTAATTTACTTGCCAAACATGTAAATGATTATTATAGTAATTTGTGTTATTTACGGGATTGTTACCATGTACCTTGTTTTTAGTGAGTTTCTGATATTTCGGCACTGTTGCAAGCGCCATCACATGACGGAGTAGCTTGCTATAATGTTAGTGACCATAAAAGTTTAAAACACCAAAAACAATGTAAGTAAATATCCGGCAAATAGTAGTGTTAAAAATAGATGAATCTAAAAAGAAGTGCACTGCCCGGGAATCGAACCCGGGACGCAAGAATGGGAATCTTGCATGATACCACTACACCAGCAGTGCTTTGACAGTGTAAACAAATTTTTGTAAGATAAGGACCTATATAAAAGTATTGTTTTCTTTTTAATTTTGATCAATATTGCGACCATACTTTTTTGGACAATTGAATACTTGCATTGCATTCTGTTCTTTCTGGCAATATGAAAATCTCCAATGTAATATTCTTTACAACGCCATCTTTGGGCGTTAAGCACAACTTATGAGTAGGTAGTATAGCATGCTAATTAGCATTGTGGTTGGCTAAAGTAAGTAAGTAGTTAAGTTTCAGATTAATAGATGACAGGGGCTGCACTTCATTATCAAGTGAGCTTTGAGAAAAATAAAAAATATTAAATATTTCCAACACTCACACTAATTAGCCTAGCCCCAAAGTAAGCACTGTAATGCTTGTGTTATGGGATACTAGGGTAACGGATAGAATACATATACTGTACATATATAAGTATATTTTATATAGAAATATAATTATATTTAACATCCATGACTGGAGTACAAATGTTCGTATTCATCACACAAACATCTGCCCCCACCGGGATTCGAACCCGGGACCTCTCGAGTCGGCGACACCATGAAACCTGGCGTTTAAACCACTCGGCCACGGAGGTCGTCAATTTAGATAAAATGCAATATAAATAAAAGTAGATATGCTAAAAAAACTAAAATGACAGCACTTCTATTGCACAAGTGTTGTCATTAAAAACTTTGCTACTTAAATGTAGTAAACATTTAAGTAGCAAAGTTTTTAATAACAAGAATCGATAAATTTTTGAGACCAAAACAAAATCGAACAGTATGAACACACTGTCCCAGGCAGAAAATATGATTTAAAAAATGAGAAAATATATACGGTCTATTTTAAGTCGGGAAGGTTAAAGGGGGTGAAAAACTTAAGGATAAAAAACGGTTTATCGCGATTTCCTAAAAAAACTAATATTACATGAATTAAAAATATTTGCGGAGATGCATTAGGTACTATGAAAAATGCAAAAAATGTCTCATATTTGTTTTTTGAAATAATGTGCTTAATAAATCACACTATTCTATTTTATTACCAGACAAATATCTTTTTCTAAAGATTAGGAATTAGGCCACTTTAAGACATTCTAACCACCCCAGTTTGTGACCCCGAGGATTGTGTAATGGAGCTTTGAGCTGAACTTTTTAACAAATAATAATATTAACCTTTTTTCATAGACCTTAATAACTAAGTTATTAAACTAATTTAAGTTAACCTTAGTAATTTAGAGTCGGCGCCATACAATCAAAGAACAAAGACGACCTTCGTGCGTGGCCGAGTGGTTTGTTCGCCGGGTTTCATGGTGTCGCCTACTCGAAAGGTCCCGGGTTCGAATCCCGGTGGGGGCAGATGTTTGTGTGATGAATAGGTACGAGTATTTTGTAACCCATTCATGGATGTTTAATATATATTCCTATATAAATAGACTTATATAATTATGTATCAGTACAAGTATTCTCTTCGTTACCCTAGTATCCCATAACACAAGCCTACAGTGCTTACTTTGGGGGCAAGGCTAATTGGTGTGAGTGTAAAAAAAAGAAAAAAGGATCACTAAATTACCTTAAATTTAAAATATGAAATAACCAAATGCAACGTAAAATCTCCAGAAATAAACATTAGCATTCCAAAAACGTAGCCGTCTAAAATTACTATAGGTACCTATACTTACAATAGTTGAAGAGCTTAGTGAATAAGGTTAAAAAAAAAGTTTTTTGTTTGTGTTTCGGTTTCTTCGGCGGTCAAATTTTTTGTTAAAAAGTTTTTATTTTGTAATTTACTATAATTTTTGTAATCAGTCAATCATCACTCAGTATTAAAATCTACTAGTGAACTGAATGAGCGAATCACTCGTATTTCCACCCTTAGAGTAGATTTTTTCCAAATTTATCTGGAACCAACATCTAGGTATATCCCATATAGAAGAGAATCATTTAAATCGGGCTACCGTAAACAATTACATACAATCAGTAAGTGAATAATCAATCATACCCTGTTCTCCGACCCTTTAGAGCAGGATAAATCGGGAAATTCGTGTATCAGAACATTATATGGGGTGGGGGGGCCACGGGGCAAGCAAAGGTACATCAACTGTGTATGTTTGCAGATGCAATATATTTCGTCATCTCATGAAGCTTCTGAGCGGTGATCAACACAGATGACAGAAGCGGACGCGGTGGTACTCAGGGCGCTGCGTGTGGAGAGAACATTCTGTCCCTTGCCCATTCTACTACTAGTAGCTGACAGCATTATATTTCGTTGCCAGGCATTTCGGTTGTGATCAACATGGCTAGTAGCAGCGATCGCACCGGTGCCACTTACTGGGAGAGCGCACTGGAGGAAACGTGCTCGGAGCGTTGCATGTGGCGCGAACATTCTGCCCCTTGCTCGATACAACGATATACTACTAGTAGTGATTCACAGCTGTCACATATTTCGTCACCAGGCATATGGGCGGTGATCAACACCGCTGGCAGCAGTGGTCGCGGCGGCGCCACTTGCTGGGAGAGCGCACTTCGAGGAAATGTGCTCGGAGCGCTGCGTGTGGCGAGAACATTCAGCCCACTGCTCGCCGCCGCCGCAGCCGACCATCCTCACGCCGGAAGACTCTTTTACATCGGTAATCTTTGAATACGGAATGAATGAATATATAAAACAGCATGGCAAAAAACTAACCTTGCTCAATATGAGTTTCGAATGACTTCGCTCCTTGATCTTCCCCTTTCGGTCTTATAAATATCTATGTTTTGAGAATTACGAATGGTATGGGCCCTTGCCATACCATTCACAGCAGCCTCCTTTCAGCACTTGGTTTTCAGACTGACCCCAAGTCTATGCAATAACCCATTAAATATCCTTTAGTTTCATTATATTGTTTACTTGTATTAAATTATCAGGATTAACATCGGACACCGCGTGTGAGAGCCTCTCGCGCCCAGAGGCGGGCGACTCTGGGGAAGGTAGCGCGGGCGCAGCAGCCGCCCGGTGGGGCACTTGGGGCGCGGCGCGAGCATTACGCGCCAGTCTACGCGCGCGCCGCCTGCATGTAGTATTGTTGCACGCACCAGACCTGTCCGCTGCTGAGATGTACGCGCCGCCCGCGCAGCTGCTGGCACCCAGTCAGCCGGCCAGGTTAGTCTAATCAAGTGCCTAGTATTGCTACACGTGCCGACATTCAGCTAGGTTTGTCTAATCAAGTTCCCCGCGTTGCATGTTTTACTGCTGCATGTGCCTGACCTCTCCACCGCTGAGATGTACGCACCGCCCGCGCAGCTGCTGGCACCCATTCAGCGGGCGAGAATGGTTCTAAGTTCCTAGAACTGTACCCTTAGCATGAACTACTATCGAATTCGAATAATTAATGTTGAATTCGATTTCGATATCCGTCAAATTTCAAGAAGTTTTGTGTGGAAGTTGTTTTAAATTCTCGCGACGTCCGTTGTGGTGCTGTTAAAATTTCCATTCAGAACTTCTTTACATTTGACGCGTATCGGGTCGTATTCAAATATCCTAATTCGATATTACTGACTGTGCGTGTCCGATTTCTCTGATATACAACACACCTATTTGTAAACGGAACATAACACATATTTTATGTTTCAGACTTACCCATCATTTAATATGTAATAGATTATGTGTATTATTCCTTTGTTTTTCATGTATTATTTTCACGAATTAATTAATCAACATTCTCTGGGAAGTCTGACAAAGTCTGTATAGACTAAACCAATATTAGGTACCTATTCTGTAGAAAAGTGCACGGGCGTATTCCAGTATTCCTGTGGTGAGACGATATGTTTACTTGAATTTCGTTAATGAAGAATTACTATTATTGTTTCAGTCGACCAGAAACACCGAGCTCAGACGTTAGCTCATCCACAGCAAGCTGTGCCGTGACGATGCCGGGCGAAGCTGCCGAGTACAGTGCGAAGGTGCTGCCCTCTAGCGCCCTGAAAGTATTGGAGGATGCTCTCACCGCCCCGGCACCAAGGGACTCGTACTATCTGAAGATGAAGCAAGAATCTTGGTTCACAAGGATGCCTTCTTTGAGAGTCGCGTGAAACGAGAAACGTTTTTAGTCAGAGAGCTTCCCTCCCCCGTTTTGACTGTAATGACTGACATTTAAAATGCTATAGCACTGAAATACATGAATGTGGACGACTGTAATTCGAGATTTGTGTTCTTAATTGTAAAGATTTAAATCTTTAGCAATTGTTCGATTGAGTTTTTGTAAATATTTTGGGGATCAGAAAGCAGTATGAACGTAAAGGAGTTTCTTAGTTTCACATAGCTTATAACCAAACCGTTTGTTAAAACACCTTTAATAGCGATATGCACATCAGCTATGAGTATATCATCGGTTTTCATAGGTTTTCATGAGTTTTATACGCCTATTTTTCGATTGGATGTTATCAACGTGTAGTTTACTCAGATCCAATTTATCGAGTCAGTCTTATTCAAAAAGATCAATTATATAAAGGATCTTTGAATCTAATGAAGCTACTTATAACATTTTCATTGAATTATTTTTTAAGATTGTTATTATAAACTTTATTGTGACGACCCGCATATCCCTTTTGACGACAATGACATGGGATAGTGGATGTTAAGTGCCAAATTTGGCACTCGAAATATTAATAATGCTTTGGGGGTGACCGTTTATATATTTACACGATGGTGAAGGGAATTTCGACTCCTATCACATTACGTTCGTAAACAAAATAAAAAATGCATAATTGTGTGATGTGAGAATTGTATAATTATTTTGTATCAAGCTCACATAGTGCCAATTTTTTTTTGTTTATTTTTCTATAGATTATGCATAATAATGAATCTCGTTTCATTGATTAACAAAATCCAGTGTAATCTATCATTGACTACGGTTTAATGTGTGTATTGTAAGGTATTTCTTTTGAAGTTTGCGTGTTCACTGAGTCAATTTTGATGTCCAACATGTGCAGTTATGGTTATAATGTAAATAATATCTTTGTTGTATATTAAACATTTTTAAAATTAATGCTTTTGTTGTTTTTTTTATACAATAATTACACATAAAAACGTTATCTTTTTAAAAACTAAAATCAATGAATGAAAATAAAGAATTCATAACAAACAATGAGCAAAAATGTATTTTTTTCAGTTTAATTACATTAATGTCTTGCAATCTAACCATAAGTTAGTACTTACTACCTAAAGTTAATGTCATGAACTCATGACAGACAACATCTTTCTGTTTTTTGTGGTCAGCATTGGCACGGTCTACGCAGTAAGACAAAGTTCTTCAATCTTCATCTAACATTCGGGTTCCTTCGTCTTCAAGTTATCGAAACTCAGCCAAACATTGTAATCGTTGACGCATACGATTATAGCCTCATTCGAATGTCTCCCGTCATAACTATGGATGCAAGCCCAGTACTGTTCAGGACCAGACCCAGTTCTTTGCCAATGCGCTGCAGTGCTAACCGCGAAACCTGCTTGTTCCTTCTTGTTCAGAATATAGCTAACGTGTCCTGGTGCCTTTATGGATATTGTATCGATGTTACGGACACTAAAAATAAAGATAACATTAAAAACAAAGAATGTTAGCAATCCTAATATTCTATACGAAAGGTGTAGGTTTGTAACAAATCAACTCAAAAAGTACTAGACCGATTTCAAAAATTCAATCACCAGTAGAAGCTTTATAATTCCTGAGTGTTCATGACCTGTGCAAAGCCGGGTTTGCACAGGTCATGAACACTCAGGAATTATTAGGAGTCCGCTAGTTCAATTATAAATAGGTAGTGTTCAACTTGTATAGTGAAATGTTTACCTCGTAGCAACAAGATGAATGTCATGAAGTTTGTACAATGATATGACATCATACATATTATTATAGTTTTAATATTTTTTTAAGCAAGCGTTTCGCCCCGACATCGCACAAGTGCAATAAATAAATAATCAAAAATTGGTAAGATTTAAGGAAGAAAGGAAGAAAAAGCATTTATTGGCCTAACACACAAATATACATACATATGTATGAGTAAAACGTTAAAAATAAAAACAAAACAGAAACTCCAAAGGAGAAAGAAGAATAGCCAATCACCTCTGCCTTAGCTTAATGCTGTAACAGTGGAATAAAATATTCCCACCATAACAGCACTGGCATTCTGGCGTTTAAGGATCAAACACATCATCCCGTTTTTCGAATTTCTGGTAGTTTCTGTTGAACATTCTAAAAATTTTCTTTTGTTGATAATAACGGTATTTCAGTGGTCGGATTATAGTAATTAAAACGAGTATTACTTACCTACTTAATATGAAAATAATTTATTAAGTATTAATTTACCTGTACTCCGGCTCACATACTGGTTTCCTATGATGCCTATGGCCATAAACATCTATAACTATGTGGTTGCTCCTGGCAAATCTCACATACAAGCAACTCGAGTCACCAGGCTGGCGCACCATCAGAAAACCCCGCAAAGAGTTCTTTTTTGTGTTAAAATTTAATGTTCGCCCCTGTTTGATACTAGAAAGTATAACGTAGCATTATTAGATGTATTACTTATAGGTATGCGAGTAATTGCTGCCATCAGCGCTACCGAATACCCGTTCAATAGAATAACTTTTAAATTACAATTACACACAACATATTTGAAAGAAAGAAGAAAGAAAATGTTTTATTCAGTGACACAAATTAGTACACGAAGACAATATACCTTACACATAAATATAAAAAATTAGGTTTAGACCTAATGTTTAGACATTTGCGTCACTAATAAAAAGGCAGTCCACTCAGCATGTGTCGGATGTCATAGACTGTCCGATGCTGGTCTTCCGTGGTTACCTTGCAAAAGTAAGGAAGACAGTACAAATAGCCACTTAGGTAGAAATTAAATTAAATAATATATATTAGGTATATAGATTTTATATATAGATTAAATGATTTATGCTTAAAATATTCGGTACTAAGAAGTTGCTGACTATAAAACCTACTACATTCACATTATATGTAATTATTACACAAGAATGTAAATTAGCACGGCAATCAACGAACAACACAGCAGTTTCCTCAAGTTGGAACTTCGTTTTCTGTAATTCTAGCAGATATCTTTTAAAATTACGTTTAAAGGTTACGATACTACAATTGCTTTTCAAAGGAGGAGGTAAATTATTCCAACACTTCGTGGCAGAGTACCTAAAACTGCCACGAAATGCTGCCGTGTTGTGCGCTGGACATACCAGACGGGATGCTATTCTTTCTAACAGTAACCTTAAAAAATAATACATAACCAAAGAAAATTGTGGTATTTATGTCGTCAGCCGATCGTTTATTTCACCAGATCATGAAATTCCTAGGTAATTAGGTATACCATGGAAAGCTGCGATTTTGTGATTGGACTGCCTCTTACACTCTCTTCGCTTGTTATGGTCAAAGAATCGCCGAACTTAGGAATAATTTTCTGCACTAACGGATAATTTTGAGATTCGAAACATATAATGAAACATGCAATCTCGCTATTAAGCGCCCTAAACATTCTTAAAATTGCGTCTTGGAAAATCCCTATATTTACTTTTGAGCGACGGCATTGTAGTTTAAGAGAACTGAAGTAACCGACATAGCTCGAAAGCTCGAATTTCTTAACTTCAGAGGGAGTAAAAATCATGACTCCTCAATGACGTTTCTTATTAATCGATTGTTAGACATTGGTCAGAAACTGTCCTTCGTCTAGAACAGTTTCCGATTAAGCACAAATACACTTTTACTAAGAATCCACACTAGAAAATTTGCAGCTGTCTTAACCATTACATAGGAAATATTTTCCTTTTACCCCCCCTCCAGTTCCAAAGAAAAGTAGACTGTATTTAAGACGACGACGGCGTCTTGAGCTAGATTCCATAGAATTTCCTTTATTACAAAAGGTAAATGATCGTACTCGACTCAGGAGTCCATCAGCATCTCTTAACTTACATAAATGAATTACCTTAAAAATGTTACCTTATAAAAACAGAACGCTCAGGGCTTTTCAAATAATTCCACATTGGCAAATGTTTTTCCATACCGGGAGGTACGTGGATCGCAGTGAATTTTGGATTTAATTGTTTGACTTGAGCCCCGATCTTGTTCAGGGTGAACAAGTCTAGTGATAAGCACATCAAGATGTGGCCATTGGCGCTTTCGTTCATCGGGAATGTAGGCCTGTCCTCTATAATTAATAAAAAACGACTTTTTAGTCAGCATGATTTAAATGTTAACTTATACTGATAAGATAATAAATGCCCAACAGTTCTTTGGTATCGTTTCCATATTATGTTTAAATTCGTACGTTCAGGGCCGTAGCCACAGTTGCAGTAGCAGTAGCCGTAGTTTAAGATAGGACAGCGGTAATTCCAAGTAGGTAGGTAGAAAATGATGAAATCTTTCGGCCCACTTAACATTTGCACTCAAATTATAGGTCAATAATTAATGGGTACGTTGAAGTAGGTAAAATTGCCATATTGAAAACTCTCGAAATCACAGGTCCATACAGAAAATGTTGAATTTTAGTTTGTTTATCTTATAAAGATGGCTAGGCAACTTTCGGAGTTCAAGCATTTAAATTTTACCTTCCTACTCACAAATCTGCTGTGCTTTACCTCAGTTCGAAGTACAGGGACAGGAGATTATTTCCAAAAGAATAACATTAAAACCAGGTGTCATACCCATATCATAACAAAAAAAAAGAAATCATAATAGGTAAACTCACGTCGACGTCGCTGTTAAACAGCATGATTTTTGTGGTATTTGTGATACTTTATTATTTATGATAAAAGATATATTTGATGTTAGGTACCAATATGATTACATGGTAAAAATAACCAATGTTTCAATAACTAACTGCTCAAGTCCAAAAGTCCAGGTACAGAGTGGCCTATCCAAGCACCTCCTAGCTCGTCCGCCATCAGTACACCGAAAGCAGAAGTTCCTATGTCATCTTTTCTGGAGGCCCTCCGGTCGTACGCTATCGCTGCTATATGATGCGAATAGGTTGACTGAAATTTTATTTGAGATTTTTAAAATAAGTTCCGCGTATTTTGATGTATAGCGGTATAAAACTGTGGTCTCGTGAGTTTTGAAATAAAATAGCTCTTCCTCTATAGTGTCGGTACTAATTACGAGGAGAGCAGTCTGTGTACATTATTATAATATAAAAGGTAACCGTTACTGACTGATCTATCAATGCTCAGTTCACACCACTGAACCACTGTTATTATGATGTTAGCATGCGCTAAAAAGGATTTTCCAAAACTCACCCTCTAAAGGGGTAAAACGGGGTTTCAAAGTTTGTATGGGAAACAAATATTTCCACGCAGAAGAAGTCGCGGGCGTCTACTGGTAATAATTTCAATGATGCAAACGAAACAATCAGTCATTTGCACCGTAACACCTTGCATGACGCGAGGCAATGTGGTGCAATCGCAATATCGGCGTCTGATGTTGAACAACGATATGATCCGAGTCAAAGCATGCGAACTAAAATAGAACCTATTTACTCTCGCTTTAAAAATCATGTGGGAGTAGTGACTGATAGTATCTGCTCTTAACTCCATAGTGCTGGGTTTTTGTTCGGAATAATTAAAACTCAGATGACAAGGAAAATCTTATATTCACCTTTCTAAGTGCACGATAGAAGAAGGTCTAAAATTGCCATATGTAAAAAAATATGTTACGTTGTTAATGTTGGTACATTTATATTATTAGAATATTCCCAACAAATTATTTAAATGAGCATAGCGGAGAGCAATAACGAGGGAAGGGAATCCTGCTGAAAGACTGATTGATCACCACCAATTCTGTAATTATGATTAGACTTGCAACGAATAGTATATTCGACAGTATACCGAATACCGAATATTCGGCGAGGCCCTGACCGAATAGCCGAATATTAGGCAAAAGTATTCGGCTGGATTTTAGCGCCAAAAACTTGTACAGACGTCATTGTTTCGCGCTCCTTTGTTTTGTTCTAATGTACTCATCGTCCGCGCGCCCGCTGTTGTTCTGATCCTTTCTTAAATATTAGTAATATAGCACGTCATGACAACCCGTATACATGGTGGCAAGCAAGGAAATTTGAATTTCCGTGTTTGATTAAGATTGCAGTAAAATATTTGTCGGCGCCAGGAAGTACTGTATATTCAGAGCGCCTTTTCTCTGAAGCTGGGATGGTCTACGAGAAAAAAAGAAGTAAACTACTTCCTAAAAATGCAGAAAAGTTAGTCTTTCTGCACCATAACCTTCCCCTTCTAAATTTTGATTATGAAAATAATTCAAATGCATAGAAAAATTCTTAACTTGTTTAATACAGAAAATGATTAAATTATGTACCTGTTTTATGTACCAATGACTACTTAATAAATGATTATAAAAGAAATGAGAATCTTACCCTTCTAAATTTTGATTACCACGATAATTTAAATACATAGAATCCTTCATTTTTCCAATTCAGAAGATGATATTATATACTTGTGTTATGTACCAATGACTACTTAAATGGTTATATATAACAGAAATGCAAATATGAATATATACGTAATCAATCGATTTTAATTTTTCATTTTACCAATTATTTCTCTATGACAAAATATATTATTTAAGTATTCGGTATTCGGCCGAATAATATGTAGATATTCGGTATTCGGCCGAATATAATAAAAGCAGCCGAATAGGCCGAATACCGAATAGTAACCGAATATTCGTTGCAAGTCTAATTATGATTAATTGCCTCACCCTGAACAACGGCGACAATGTGTGTTGCAACATGGAGTTTGCGTTGAGGTGGGTGTTTGAATACTGCCAGCGTCCTTTAGTGGCCGGTGTGATGTACGTGAAGTTGTTACCCAGTCGAAGGTATGGGAGCGATACATCGGGGGGCTTGTATATGTACCACCTGGTATGATGTAGGTAAGTATTATTTTTGGGCACATATTTAAATAATGACTAAAAAAAATAGTAATTGATCCTCAAGATCCAATCTTCTCTTTTCAATCTCTTGATCAAATCTTTTTTTTTTTGAGGTACCGTAAGTGAGGGTTACTTTAGCTCGGGCGGGTAACTTTTTCCCAAATCAGAAAAAATATTGAACTTGCCGCCCCATCAGTATCTCTTGGGTGACCGGATATAGGCGCGTAGTGTGGTGTTGTTTTACCGACATCGTTCCTGTATCAAGTTGTCATTGTAACGGGGCATTTTTTGTAGCGGAAATAGTTCGCAAGTTCATGCGCAAACTTTCTCAAAACTGTGGTTTTCGCTTTTTATTTTTAATTTAAGTCTACTATTTTTTTCTAAATTTAAAGTTATATTTTTTATTTAACTTAATTATTTTTGGGCAAAAACATCCATTTGTGTATTCAGTATGCTAATGGTGATCTGTTATAAGGGTTACTTAACCCCAACATGGCTTATAATGAGTTTTTTCACAGAGAAAACTCGACGAGCTAAAGTAACCCTCTTTAAGGCCAACTTTGGCCCAAAATTAAAAAAATATATATTAACCCTTAAATATTATTTTTTCCTATTTTCGTATGATAACTTTGTAACTTATACTTTAAAGTTCACAATGGAAAGATATAAACGTGACATATTCATCACAAAGAGAAGCTACAATTTTATTTGAAAAAAAAGTGCACGTTTTAGGTTTTGCAGTATTTTTCTAAACTAGCTTATTCCCATTTTTTATTGATTCTGAGCATTATAGTGGGTTTATTATGAAATGAAATGGCAATAACATTCCTAGGGGTGAGGTGGGTGCCTAACCGTGTCGTACCAGTTCGTATCTGATACAAAGTGGTAATCAGCAGTGTGAATCGGCATCTCCTTATAATGAACTTTCTGATTATTAGATCAATTCTGGACTGTACTGTGAGTTAAAGAAATATATCTTGCACAGGCAGAAGTCCCGTATTCCAAACCAATGGAACCAGTGACGTCTTTAAGTTATAAGATTTATATATCTCTTGGCAGATCATTAAAGGTTCAAGTACTATATGGGCACGGTACAGTTTTGTTGGACAGGGCCTTCCCTATGGATGGAATAGGGAGATTGGGCCATGACCTACCGCGCGGGCCCAGTGCAGATTGGCGGATGCTAACGACTGCAGATGTAGCCGGGACCAACGGCTTAACTTGGCTTAGCTTTACACGAAATAGAAGGCCAAAAGCTAAGTAAATTGACAATGAGTTATACAACAACTGCCTTACCACTCAACAGGCGCGTTCTCATTGTCCCGACAATGTAAATTAATATAATTCCATCCTTCTGAATAATCTATGGCACGACAACTTTTTAAGAAAACTAAACTAGCTAATACAACATTTGAGTAAAACATTGTTCTGTGCGCATGTCAAATTTTAAGATCACAACAGCGCCATTTTTATTGTAGGTACCTATCGTTATTTTATTGGTTTATTTCAAATTGGAACTACATAATACGTATTGATAACATTTGTAACTGCTTTTGCTTTCAACTAGAAAAAAAATTGTAGTCCAAATGCGTACACATATTTAACAAGGTTCTACAGGGCTGTAGCTAGAGTCGAATTTGAGGTAGGGCAGCATTGGTTACAGGTAGGGTGAAGTAAAAAAAAAATCTTAATTGATCTGCCCTCGGAGCACGGGATCCTAAATCAATCACCATGTATATCATTGACCTCTAGGTCAATGATGTACATTGAATAGCTATTCGTAAACAAATAATTCCTGTGACAGAGCACGAGCATGAATCGAAGAACTATTAAAACCTCAATGGTGAAGAACAAGCGAAAAAGATGGTTGAACTTCCAGATTTGGATGTAGAGATCCACGTCTGAGTGAGAGTGAGGTTATAATTTATTGTTAGGTGGGGTGATACAGTTAATAGATACGACCAAAAATACTATTTAGATCATATTGTTTTTGCAAACTTATTATAATAATAAAAATATTGAAAACAGCTGAATTCTACGATTCACCATATTATTAAAAATGCGAAGAACTTCGTTCAGATCAACTGATCGTGTTCTTTTTTTTTCAAAGGCCGGAAATACCATACCAGCCATTTTCTCGTGACCCATTGACAGTCTTTGAGGTCTATTTATTGCAGTTAAAGTTGAAAACGTATTGATGGAAATAACAATTGTATTGATTTTTAACTATTACACTCTTTACCATACACTTCACTTTACCAAACTACAAACAATCATAATCAATCTTTAATGTATTGAAACGCTACGCCTCCCGATGCTACGCGGAGCGTATTTTCTATGATCAGTGTGTGCGCATCACGACGCGACGCGTCGGCTGTTCCTAATGTGATTCTGATAACATGAATAGTATATTTGATTACCTGAACACGCGTCGCGTTTCAAAAGACTGTTTCGGCCATCCGACGGGACTTGATGCGCACACACTAATCATAAAAAATATGCGTTGAGTGGCGTAGCGTTTCAAAAGTCTGCCGGAAATTTTGAAGAATTATATTTTCAATTAATTTATTATTACGTTTCGGTTCAGAAAAATATGGTTTATTTGTTGATCGCATTAGTTTATAAATTCAATTTGTGTTTAGAAATATCCATAATTAATATTTAAGTTGGCATTAATTCCCTGTAGTACCTTTTATTAAGTGTGGTTATTTTTAGTTGAGAATAATAAAATAACTAAGCACCTACACAATGTTACCTTGGTTGTATCGTCAAATTAAAAATCAAATTTATTTTTATAAGCGTATTTTTATTTGATTTTACTTACTTATTCTACTACAAACTTAGACTAGCAAAATATTTTTATAATAAATACAGTAAGTAAAATTCATTTTATCGCCCTACCCCGTGAACTCTTTGAATCTTACTCACCACAAAACACCACCAAGCGCGCACAACCACTCGTAACCTCACTCCGCACAACCACTCGTAACCTCACTCCGCACAACCACTCGTAACCTCACACCGCACAACCACTCGTAACATCACTCCCGCTGATGAATTCAAAGTAGTGGTATTAACTATGGGTTTCTATAAACTGGCCGTTACTTTCCCAGTCGGGAGCTTCAATACTAGCGGAAAAGCAACTTTGCCCTAATTATGGAATAATTATTAACGTGTCTACTCTAAGTTAGAGTAGGTACTATTTCGTTTTTTCAGAAACCTATGGAAATTATAATGAGTATTTAATTTTAAGATAAGAACACAAGAAACTTATTTTCTCATATAAAAGTAAGATTGTTCAATAGCAATCATCTAGATTGGCAGTTATAATTACTACGAACACTTAAAATAATTAATTAATCACCTGAACAATGAATTAAAAAAGCAATTTCTTAGCTTTTGGTTGCAACCATTCTATTTCTGCAATACCAATTTAGAATTCTTAACTACTATTTTTACCACTTTACATTATCATACTATAACACTAGTACTTATTTATTATCAAAAGCTCTGAAATGCTTAATGAATCAGTTTTGTACTAAACTAATACTAACTACTTAATTTGCGACGATCTAACGGATTTTGTATGATAATAATTGAAAGTGCCTTCAATTTTATAAAACACAATTATACAATGTACATGAGATACCTTAATCTTTCAATCGGCTCATATACTGAGTTCCCTTTATAAGTACCTATTTTACATAGTATCTAAGAAATAATTTCTTCACAAAAATCATTTTCACAAGTATCTGATACATTCATATATCATAACCCAAATAATAAAAAAGTATTTACAGTTATAATACAATTATTGCTTTCCTACACTTCTCCTTGCTGACATCATGTATCAATCAAACAAAACTCGTACATACTTGATAATTTATCAAAATATATAAAGTATCAAATAACGTACAAAATTTAAAAAATACTCCGTGTTTGCATAAGAAATAAGTAGGTACACTGGTGCTGTGAGATATCGCATTTGGAATTTGGGCAACTTTTTAGATGGAGATTAACTTAACATTTTCACTTTAACATTTTCAAGTCGGGACTTTTGTAATTTTCTCGTTAGTATTTTTTTTATTTAATTACACGTTTGTACAGAGTCGATGAGATGAGCAAAGTTGCCCCACAATATTGGTCCAGAGGTACACACGGTTCCGCCACCTCGTGATTCTTGAGGTAACTGCAAAGAGAAAAGGATTATAAATATTTTCATGGATTATGCAAGTAGAATAACATCTAAATGTATGATAAAATGTGAGCAAAGGACAATGTTAAAATTGGCCTAAGAACCAACACCAATTTGGCAATTATGATAATTATTAATATATTTTTTGGGATAATTATCAGTATTTAGATTGTGACGGACACTTCCAGTTAAGTAAGCTAAATTAAAAAGTTAAAAAATAATCTGAGACAATAGATACCATTTTATGTGTATAATCTATGACAGCGCTGCAAACAAAACACACTTTTTCTTTCTTAATGCCGGCAACTTCACTTAGCTGTTCGTATTTGCTATTTTAAAACATGACATCAGTCTGTCCTTTTCATCGTGCATTCCAAAGAGTAGTATAAAGGAAAGTGCATTCTCGTTTCGGATTACCTGTTGTGTGTGTTTATTTGCGATTGTTTTTCCTTTAATTTAACTATTTCGGCTATCAAATATGCCATCGATGTAATCAAAGAGCAGAGACCTTATTACCAAGTGCTAGTGAACCTGTGCCACAACACCCAGAGAGGATCATACTGCCAAATTATTCAAGAACACCTGATACATATTCACGCTGCATATTTACACAATATACATGTGATATACAAATAAATACCATATACAATATGATACAATTATGTGAAAAATAGTCAATAAATAAGAAGCAAAACTACAGTTTTTGAAGTTATACTTCTTTAGGCGCGTTATGAAAAAATGATTAGAGTGAAATTTTAAGATGCGCGCGCATATCTGTAACACAAAATTTTAACAGCATGAAGTTGACCAACTTCATGCGTTACTTTTGTGTTTACCGCACATTAAGAAAATCTACCAACAAAATAGAAATAGAATCTCTATTTAGTGGGTGCTAACGACTGCATTGTGAAGGCCTATCAAAAGTATTTATTAATCTGGAACAACGGAACCAAAGCGCGATTCAGGAGACTACAGCGCCATCTCTTGACCATTGGTGTAGTAGAACCAAAAACCGTTATAGGTATTCATATTTATAATATTTATCCACATGTTTCTAGTTTGTATATTCGGAATACGCGTTTGAGTTTCATACAAGTGCAAATCACATATGTTCTAATAAATTATATTCAGTAGCGATTTTAATTGAATATTTTGATTGTTTATTTATTTTTTCAAATTAAAACTGAACTTTATTGACTGTGTCCTTTTCCAGACTTTTTATTAATTTATTGTAATTAATTATTTGCATGCAATTAAAAACTAATTTTAAACGATGCCAAAGAAGGATAACTTCTCACGCGCCTACATAAGTACACGCACCCATTTTTATTTTATTCATGATTCCTACCTATCCTAGGTTTTCCTAATAGTTATTCTTTAAAATCGCACCGAATAGTATGAATTAGTTGTAATATTAATTCACTTCATACTAAGTTCATAGGTTGATCTATGTTTCATTGAATATTAAACATAACCTCAAAAAGCATTTAGTTTTCCTAATAATTTAAGTTGTCAGAAGTGTCCGTCAATAATCTTTGTTTTTACAGTCATTTACTTGCAATTTCGAACCTAGAAAATAATACTTCATGTTTGTTGGTTCTTAGGCTAACTATGTATGGACGCTGAACAATGTCCTTTCGGCTCATCTTTAAAGGAAGTCTCTTCCCAAGCCCAAGCCAACCCAAGCCAGCTAAGCCAACTTATGTCGGAAATTCAAAAGTAATTTATAGTAAGTATATTTATTGGTGATGTTTGGCGAGAAATGCTGTGAACCATGTGTTTTTCGCCAACTTTTAATTGCATTGATAGAGGTACTACAATACTTGTATTTATAGTTATTCGAAAGCCCTACGGTTGCCCGGTACAGCACACCTAAAGACAAGATACTTCACTACAGAATTACGTAGTGCTATGTTTGTAGTGGAAAAAGTGCTATTTGGCTGCAATCTTCTGCAAGATGGAGAATAAATACAGTTACCCTTTGTTCCCCGCTTACAATATTTCCAGCTATGAGAAAGTTGGGGCGCTGCAGATTTCACGCAAAAATTATGTATCTAATTTAAGCGTAAAATCTTCAGCGCCACATCCACACATCCCACATATAACCAAAATGGAGGAAGTAAACACTCACTTCGACAAGAGATGGCGCAACCTCATACTTTATGAGCGCAGCGCCTACATCGCACAAGAGATATTCGGAAGCTAACTCTTCAATTATGCAATGCTCGACCAACACCAGTCGCCCCTCCTATTCCGTCGGCCTAGGCACGTCTTAGATTACCCCGACGACGAAATCACCCGCGCCAACGCGCCTCCTCCCACACAGGCCATAAACACCAACACTACACAGCTTAGCATTAGGCAGACACCGCACCGATAGGATAAGAGTGCGAAGAACACACGACACGCTATACCAGGTACGGGTACGTACCTGGGCGTTTTTCCCCGCCCTCCAAGACAACGGCTAACTAGAGCCGAGGTCCAAGTCTCAGAGACGCCCTCTAGTTGAGCCGACCCACTCAAGTTCGAGTGGTCGAGAGACTCCAGACGGAGAGGAGACTCCCCCCGTGGGGAGATGCCATCCACCTGGAATACTTTTAGAAGCACTCGCCAATTCTCGGCTTGAGGTCCCCTTAGGATCTCGCCCTCCCCAAACCCGTTGACGTTGTAAAGGTCATCTGCGACCAACAGCATATACACTCAAAAAAACATCTGTCGGGCCGCGGCTCTCGAGATACCATCACCCAGCTCGGCGGAAGATATTCCCCTTTGGCCTTCCTACAGTAGTAAGAAAATATTCTCACCGCCCTATTGATGTCCCCCACGCAGACCCAGTAGTCGGCCACTTTAGTGTCTTGACTGTTGTGCATCTTGTGAGCGACCGCCACCGCCCACTTGGAGTGGTCGTTGTGGGAAGTGAACGACATCTTCGCTATCGGGAACTTAAGTCGTTCTATGTTCCTTACTCTGAAATTGAAAATGGATGTCTTTGTAATTATCTTCCACGTACGACGTCATCCCCGTTAACTTTAGTTTCGCGCAACTTTCTCATTATTTCCGTAAAACCTTCTACAAAGTTTTAGAAAACTTGAAAATAAATAGATTAATGAAATCTATTCTTAAGTTATGACGTCACTAGAGAAACAGGGATTAATTAAATAATTTGATGCTTCTGTTTCATTCAAGGCTCTTAAGTAAAATTTGATCTCGATACGCGTCAAATTTCAAAAAGGTTTGTATGGAAATTTTAACAGCATTACAACCACAAAGGAATTAAAAATCGTCAATACAGATTTTTTTGACATTTGACTCGTATTGATATCAAATTTGATATTAGTTCGGGCTAACGATACTGGTCAAATAGAATAGGTGCGACCAAAAATGTATTATCTCCGTGCTTCGAAATGCACTATAGGCCGTCGTAAGTACCTATTTTTATCATTTATCATATTGCGTTTCCTCCTATTACGTCTTAGGTCAAATCTGTACTCCAGCAATTTATACTCCAGCTCCAGCCATATTAATAGATTAGCTGATGACCATTAGGAATAATACGGTATATTAATATATAGGCAAATGATGTTAAGGATATTACGTACTGGAAGTTTCTGCTGCACTCCGAGTCCAAAGTTCCCGGGCCGTTAGTCCACGATTCCACTAATAAATCTGACTGTAGCACCTCTGCCACCAATCCACTGTACAGATCGTCGTTGAACATCGCACTCTTTGCGAACGATAAGAATTTGCGACCCACTAACGTCTCGAAGCTCTCTATGTGATACCTAAATAAAGAAAGTATAAAATAAAAAATTGACGAAACACAGGAATTGATTTTCAACCGTCGTGCATAGGTTCAAAATTCATATTTGATTTGGAGATTTGAATTTACCCTGTGTATGGGTGTTTTGGTGGTGTACTGAGGTGTTATACTAGACCTTGTATCAATGTTCCATCGGAATAACATTATTAACGCTTAGTCGATTAAACTCCAATCGACTACGTTCAATAAAAAAAATATCCAATCAATAAAATAAATTATCTATTGTTACCTGAGCAGGATCTATTTCATGAGTAAAACTATTAAAGCGCTCGCTTTCGCGACTTCCTGTTACACACTTCCGTCCCATTTCACGAAATCACTCCCACAAATTGCAGGAAAACGAGAGGAAAGATGTTACACAATAAAAAAAAAACAAACTCACCAAGGCGACGCATCAATCGTCTTATTGTTGACGACATCGACTAAGTTGGGCAGTTCGCTCTCGAACTCCGGCGGTATATGGTGGTGGACTATCATCGGCTCGTTGTACTTCAGCTGGGTGGCGATCTGGTTTAAAGTGGAGGTCTGCACTGACACACAAAGGAAAGACTGCCCATACTTCATGCCGGTGGTTGGATAGTCGTATCCGCTCACGTTTAATCCGTGCACTGCGTTCAGAAACAAATACATCTTTCCTATATACAGTATAATTATCTGATAAATAACTCTTACAACCAATTTTAAGTGCAAATTCAAACTCATTTATTCAGTCTAAGCTGTTACAAGCTCTTGTGAAAGACGCTATCGATTCGTAATTCTAAGGACTATTTTATTTAATTTTTATTTTTTCTCCCTGTTTTGTTTCATACAGCGTTGTCAATAAGAGTCGTATAGTATCAAAGGGAGCAAAGTAGGGCGAACCAAATATTCGGCAAATCAAAAAAAAACTGTTTAGTCTCGTCTTTAAGGGAGGATTTTTATAATTGACATTCATCATAACTACAAATAGTAGTGAAATGTCAATTTTTTATCCTCTCTTAAAGACGAGACTAACCAGTTTTTTTTTTGATTTGCCAATTATTTGGTTCGCCCTACTTTGCCGCCTTTGATACTATACGACTCTCATCAGTAAGACGACATCAAAACCTGAAAACACGTGTTTATGTCAAATGTGTACATAATAAATATTATTGATGAAAAATACGTTATAGCTACTATTTTTTGATTGAAGGAGTACCGAATAAACAATTTTCAACCAAATTAGCAAAGTAAAACTACTTAGTCTATTATATTAAGCACAAGGTGCCTTATCATTTAAGAATCTCTAACATTATAATAACCTTTCCTAAGGAGACAAGTGTTGATACACAATTTAGATTTATTATAAGGTAAATTAATTATTTTCTTTGCAAAATGAGGTTTTCTTGTTGTGAAGAAATCTGGAACAGCGGAGTCACCCGCACCACAGATTACCTACTACTCGCACTAGTATAAAGCGTAATTCCTACCATGCAAGTGCAATTAATAACCTTAGGAAGATACCACACCAATCGATCGATCGTCGATCTATGCCATCGATCGATGGTAGAATAGATTAGTCGACGTCTATCGATAGTTTCTACGACACCAATCGATCGATAGTCGATAGATGCCATCGATCGAGCGATCGAAAAAACCACTGTTTAACATGTATGTTTAATTTGCAGAATGTAAGCGATCTTTGGCTTTAAGAAACGGTCGCATCATGAGTGTTTTGCGTTTGCGTCTCCGTAATAATTAGTACGAGTAAAATCGTACTGACCAACAACAACGCGTCCTCTTGTGAATACATTTCGAAAGAAACTGATGGAATATAGTCGGGGTCAATCGATCTACGTCGACCGATGCCATCGACCGGCCATCGATCGACTGGTTAGTCGATCGATCCGTCGATCAATTAAAGCTACCACACCAATCGATCAATGTCGCCGGATGTCGATCGACGATCGATTGGTGTGGTAACACCCTTACGTTGAGCAGGAACACAAATGCATGTCAAATATTGCAGATCAGATCTAAGCATATCACATATCTCTCAAAACATGCAGGCATTGAGCTCGAGATAACACATTTTTGGTCTTCCATTGTGTTCATTCATTGTGTCCATGGCTCTTGTAGGTACTACGTTTAGTAAACTACCTGCGCTTCACCGTCTAAGCTACATGTTTAATTTCAGTAATCTGTGCTCCATAGGTTCCGAGATTCCAATAGTCAAGAGTTGGACACACAGATGTAACGCTTCGGCATCGCCAGCATATACAAAACAGATAAAGTGGAGGTAAATTTTTGTTAGCTGCTTACTACAGAAGGATAGGTGTGATCATATGATTTTCGAGACACGAATAAACTTGATAAAATGAATATTCCGTCACGTTTATATAATATATTTATCACCACTTAACATCAGGTGGGGTAGAGTCATTTGCCTACCTCGCTATAAAAAAAACGTTAATAGTTTGTGGTGATAAATTCTAAGAGGAATAAATATAGACGATAGTTATTATGGGCTAATTAGATAAAACTGTAGGCAACTTGAGGAACTTTGATGGCGCAAATGGTAAGCGCTTTCGGCTGCGATCGTTGAAGTTAAGCAAAAAGTTGACTTAACGCACCACTTTCTTGGTCTGTCATTGGATGGGTGACCAAAAATTTACTTTCTCGTGCTCCTCCGTGCTTCGGAAGGCACTTAAAGCTGTTGGTCCCAGCTGCATCTGCAGTCAATCAGCTACCAATCCGCACTGGGCCCGCGTGGTTCCATCCTTAGGAAAGGCCCGTGTCCCAGCAATGGGGACATTATTAGGTTAATGATGATGTAGGTAACTTACTGTCAGGCAAGGGCGGGAACCTAGGCACGGAATGCACCAGCCACAGTGACGTGAACTTATCACCAAGTAGCACTCCTTTAGTGTGACCGCTTTCCACTCGCGTCTTCATGAACTTCGAGTGCATTTTGCACATCTCAGCCAAATCGTAGTCGTCGTAATACTTATCACCGAGTTTGAACTTCTTAAATTTCTTCACCCCAGCTTGCTTTCCCAGACCTAGAAAGAAACACAATGACCAACTCTGCAAAGCCCACAAAGGATTATGGCGTTTTGTGTTTCCTTTCTTTTATGAAACGATAGAGTAATATAAGTTTCTTTTACATCAGGATCACGGTAAAATAACACTACTTTATGGTGGTGTTGTGTTTCTGTCGGTAAGTAAGGTTCCAGGTCTCAACCGGGTAGAGGATTTGGTCAGAGTAGGCAACGATGCTGGTGATATTTTTGGTATTGCAAGCGTCTATAAGCTATGGTGGTCGCTTACCTTCAGGCGAGCCATTACGCATGTTTGCTACCCTTTTAACATAAAAAAATATCAGGAATCGAAAACGCCATTATCTCTTGTGATGTTAATTATCCGTTATTATACATTGCCATTATTTGTTGTCTCTTGTTTGGATCTAGAATTGAAAAATCACTTCTACGGATAAGTCCTGCCGAAATCCTTTTTCCATGGATATGCGCATACCCAGCCTTTGTCCAGGGTTTGGAAAAAAGTAAGAAAAGTTGTAGGAAAAATAATTTATATTTGGATATTTTATTGATCTCTATGATTCAGAAAAAGAAATTACATAAAATATTAAATATTTATAGGTCGATTTTTTATTATTATAAACGCTCTTGTCCATTGGTAAGACAATATTGATAAAGTGTCAATACGGACCATACGATAGACGATCTCCGTAGCCGAGTGGTATGTACGCCGGGTTTCAAGGAGTCGCCTTCTACAAGGTCCCGGTCCCAGGTTCGAATCCCGGTGAGGCAAATGATAGTATGATAAATACGAGCATCTGTATGTAAGTCATAGATATTTACATGTATTTCTATATAATATGTATCTGTATTCTATCCGTTACCCTAGTATCCCATAACACAAGCCTTTCGGTGCTTACTTTGCCACTAGGCTAATTGGTGTGAGTGTTAGGAATATTTGTATTTAATACCTTTTTTACTCTTGGAATACATATCAGCAACGGATTGCAACACATCCGGTTGATTTTCAGCGGCCGGCGGCTGATCGTTATACACGACTGAGATTATGCTTTTATCCTGAAACAGGCAATAGGTTTTTTACGTTTATGTAGGCAAACGAGCTTACAGTCACCTGATCGGAAGTGGTCACTGCTGTTCATGGACGGTTCTGAAGGAAAAGGTTTACCCGCCTTTTGAAGTCCGTCATATCCGGCTAAAATGAAAAAGCCGCTGAGAGAGTTCCTGATCTTCCTGGTACGAAAGAAAAAGGAACAAGTCTAATGCATGATGCTAGAACGCCAAGCGTCCAGATGGTGGGGCTGAAACTTATCTCTGCGGCGTGAGATGCGGTGGAGAAACTTGGCCGCTGGCACCAGATGGAATAATACATAAATATAACAGAAATAGTAGATACAAAAGATATTATTCATGCGGTAAGTAATAGTTGCCAGCAGTTCGTTGCCTGAGGGCAACGACGAGCGTCGACGTGAGCGTCTATATGTGATGTGACTGTGGAACAGGTGTTTTACAATTAATATCATTTCAAATACTTACTTGTTACTACGCAGTTTTTAACAAAACAGGTCTCTGCAACTATATAAAATCTTGTGACTCTTAACAATCGTGTCAGCATGATTTCTTCGTTATTGATATTATAAGCGCGAAAATTGACGCTCTCACACCTATTCCCTCTTTTATCATTAATAAGCCTCAAACTACTTACTCCTTTGTATTTAGCAGACCTACCTTTTGAATGAAAAGGTAGCTGGAAAATGCGTGTTAGCAACCCTCGCCCACCCGGGAGAAAGGTGAACGTTGGTCTGAGGCCCAAAAACGAGTTTTTCATAGCTCCGTAACGTATCGCATCGTCAGTCTCTATGAAAACTAAGCAGTGCCCCATCGGACGTTTACTACAATATTTTACGGAACTGTCAAAGACTCGTGCTTGGACCTCTGAGGGCTCCTCACTGTCATTTCATCCAGCTCGTGGGCTCGATGAAATTAATGAAAAACAGACAATACTTCTGCACCGGTCACGCAACACGCATTCTGAGGACCGAAGTTTCCCGAATGCGTGTCGAGAGTGCGAGCATAGTTCTGCCACAAGCACCTTATGGTATAGGAATGTAGCCAGTCCTAACGGGGTGCCACAACTACTACTACCGACGCAATCTCGGCACGCGGTCGGGGGACCTCGTTTATCAGAGTGCGTGTCGAGAGAGCGGGTAGTGCGGCGGACATTTTTTTCACGATTTAGGAACTTTTGTCCACCGCGGACAAAACTCCTTTGTCTGCGCGGTCCACTATCAATATTGTCTTACTCATTGGACATGGGCGTTAAGTAATGGACATAAGTGTTAAAGTTCTCACACTGTGAGTTCGGTTCTCAGAGAGCGTGTCGAGAGTACCCCCCGTACCCCGTTAGGACTGGCCACATACCTGCTAGTGTTTGTCCACGAACGGATCCCCCGATGAAGATACCCCGGAGTAGACCTACCTGGTACAAAGGCGCTAGTGTCCTCCCCACCATCGAACGCGGGTCACTGATGGCCAAGTCGGACATGATCCAGCCACCGCGTAACTTCGACGGAGTAAGGTACATGTACGCCACGCCCTTACGCACCAGAGGATTCAAGTGGTTCCGTTCCCTCGGTAACTTGTACATGTAGAACCTGTGTTCAATTTAATATAAGTATCAATTTTAATTCAGTTAAGATGAAGACGTTACCGTAATAATAAGTAAATTGCTTGTGTTTACCTACAGAAAAACTTAGCTTTTATTTGGATTAGGATAATAGCAATAGCCGATCCTGCAACGTTCCCTTTCTTGAAGGTCGATTAGGGTAAAAATGCAAAACAACGGCCCCTTATACTCTGAGTACGGCCGTAATAGAGTGACAAGACCCTACATGCGGCTGTAGGGTATCCACGAAGAAGCATTAGAGAACGGCCGATAATAAAGCAAATAAACCATTTGCTAAGTAAGGGGAGAAGTCACTTTCTTTGTGATACATAAAATAGGAGAACAGTATGCCTTTAGGAAGCTTTTAGTTATAGTCTTTGAAAGCGGTATTACAGAAACTAACAATAGATACTACTACTAATATTCTGAACACACACTACTTACTTATAATACTTAGGTATTTTTTTTAACTCTCAGGGTTATAAAGCGCGTATCTATCCATTAAAGTTTCTTGAAAATTGGAATGGGTCCAAATATTTATCAAATATATTATAAATTAGGAACCAAATATTGAGTTAGTCATCAAAAGCGCAATTATTTTAAAAGTTGCTAAATATTTCCTGAACATTTAGAATTTATAACGAAATCATAATTTTGTGTGATATATATTTTTAAATTATTAACTAGAAAGTAAATATATACGTAAATACCGATAACGACTCCCTATGGTTGAGTGACCGCAAGCGCAACGGAATTGGCGTCATGATAAATTCAGTAGCTATAACCTACAGTCAGTACATTTTTTGGAAAAAACGGGCTTTTCTGTAGTGGACCCAATACATTATCCACATTTATTTATTAAAAATATCTCAGTAAATAGGAAGGTTCCATTTAAGAAAAAATACAATATAATTATTTCTCAATGAAACTATGATTCATCAAATACTATTTAGTTATAAAAGTAGTTCATTTTTATAAGAGAATAAACTCTAATCAGAAATAACCAAAATCAGCAAAAATTGTAGCCAAATAAATAAAATTTATTGTGAGCATATCGTTTATCAAGATGATAAAAAAGCTACGTATTGCTAATTATAAATAATATTTTACATACTATTTTAATTCATAATTTTAGAGCGCAAATATTGACTCATCATAACTGACCCTGACTATTAATAACTTATAATAATACAACTTTATCAAAATTCCTGTTTACTGCTGTAACTTTAACGAATAATTCAATATGATCTAATACTTATTACACTATTCCGTGTAATTAATTTATATTTTTATTACACATTCAGTAAATTAAAAAAAAACAGTTACTCACCAATCCACGGGTTCCCCTTTTTCGTTTCTGCATTGCGGCGTCAAACACAAAGATTGAGTAAAAAATATCGTCACAAATATTAGCGTATCGTATCGCATGGTGCGTGTTTATTTCACGAAAATCACAGAGCAAATAATAAGGGTCTCAGGATGTTGGCGCCGCTATGGATGTGATGTCATGTTATTCGATCATCCTTCGACATAGCGAAAGTATCAAACAATCGCGATGTTTATACAACAGTAACGATATTGTTTCCTTTCATAAGTTAATTCGTCTTCGATAATGTACGAATGAATTCATTGACGCAACACTACTAACAACAAAGCCAACTAGTTTCAAAGGCTCGGACGCTCTAATCACAGCTCACAGCTGCGCTCGAGTCATATTCTGTCCCTTTTCCTCGCCCTTGTTACGATCAAGAGTGACGATGCTGTTATCCTTTGTTTGGGATCTCACATAACATTGATAGCTCATGTTTATGCTTCGGTACTATTTGGTATAACGCAATTATGACTGTCTCTAATGTAACAAAGCAGATGATTCATTTTATTTAATTCTCATAAAGCCTATGTATGAATCAATAAAAACGAGTTAAACAAGTTTTATTATTACATGGAAACTGTCAAAAATAACATTTGGTTTGGTCACTGCCATAATAGTGGAATCGGTGAGAATCACAGTAGGAGGACATAGGTTCATTTATTAACTCTTTTTTTTCATTAGCATGATTGATGACGCCTTAGCATGTTATAATGAATCATAGCCTTCGTCATTTATAATACCTCTTGTATAGACAACAGATATTATCGATTTACTCCTACCTAATCCAGTTTCTAATATTTAGTCCTAAATTTTCATCCTTTTTTTACACCACAAATGCACTCACCGCCGATTCGACGACCTCCGTGGCCTAGTGGTTTACAACGCCGGGTTTTATGGTGTCGCCGACTCGAGAGGTCCCGGGTTCGAGTCCCGGTGGGGGCAGATGTTTGTGTGATGAATACGAGCATCTGTACTCCAATCATGCATGTTTAATATGTATTTATAAATATACTTATATATGTCAGTATATGTATTCTATCCGTTACCCTAGTATCCCATAACACAAGTCTTACAGTGCTTAGGCCGTATACAGAAAGAAAGCCGAAAGCCGATCGGCGCCGATCAGCGCCGATCGGCGCTTATCGGCGCCTATTGACGCTGATCCTTTTTCTATGGACCGGCGCCGATAAGCGCCGACACTCGCTGGTCCGAATAATAAATAATTTGTATTTGAATTATTATCCTTAGATTAAATCAATCTAAGTTATAATCTTTTTATAAATCTAATAACTTTATCTTTTATTAACTAAGCGCTAAAATTATTTGTTTCGTACTTATCGAATGGTGACAACAAGTCTTTCTTCTGGAAGGATTGGTTGTTTATGCCAATTGCCCCAATTTTTCATCAAACGGTTTTTCACTAAATCCAAAATGTAATAAAATGTTTCTTGAATCATTCTTATATATGTATAAAATCTTTGTTCATCAAATTTAATTTTTTTTACAAATAAATGATGGTATTCTCCGAAACGTTTCCTTTCTCTATTTATAGGATGTATAGCTGTTTTTCGCATTTTTAAATAAACATTTTCTAACAAAACCAAATCATCGTCCGATGAGTCCGACATTTTGCTTGATCTGCTTTAATCGGCTTCCTTTATGTAGGAAGGATCGGCGCCGATAGGCGCCGATAAGCGCCGATCGGCGCCGATCGGCTTTCGGCTTTCTTTCTGTATACGGCCTTACTTTGGGGCTAGGCTAATTTGTGTGAGTGTTGGAAGTATTTATTTTTTTACTGACAGCTATGCATTCACACGGTAATCGAAAGGACGTGGTGGTGGTTCGAAACCAGTCTGATATCACTAAAACCTTCGCAAAGTTGCATTTTTTATAGGTAATTTTCTTTTACTCTGTTCGTGTCTTTTTTTTTTTTTTTTTTTTTTCATGTGTAATGTTAAATATATGGTTCTCTGTATATTTATAAGGGAACAAATATATATATTTATATATTGAAGTTAACGTTTAAATTGTGATCATGGTCAGTTTTGATTCTGCAATTGGATACAGATCCAAAACCGCCGCTATGTATTTATGCTTTTAGTCAATGTGGCAGTTAGGTACCATTGATGCGCTTAAGTTGTGAAATTATTGAGTCGACATGTTTGATGAATTTGCAAGTGGCTGTTTCGCTCTTTATTGTTTCCAGTAAGTTGTATGGTTTAATTTTGTATAATCCGCAGTAATTTTCATATTCAGCTCTGGTGCAGTGGAATATAGGGCAATCTTTTAAGATGTGTGTGATGTCCTGTTTAGTGTGGTTATCACATGGGCAACAATCATCGGGTGTTATTTTATATTTGTGCAGATAGGCCTTGTGGTAACCGTGGCCCGAGAGAATTTGTGTGACAGAAAAAGAAGGTTTGACAACTGTTCGAAATTCCGTTATTTCGGCGATGGTTTGGAAGAACGACTTCGTGACTGCTCCTTGCGGAGCCGTTTCATAGTCTTCCTGCCACGCGCTCAGGGTCCTTTCCTTCAGATAGCGCTTAGTGTGGGATAGCGGGAATACGTTCATAAGTGCCGCTGTTTTCTTGGCAGCCGCTTCTTTGGCTGCAGCGTCTGCTAATTCATTTCCCACTATCCCCACATGGGCTTTGGTCCAAATAAATCTTATATTTGTTTCTTTTTCATGCAGTCTGTAAAGGCTATGGTGTATACTATTTACCAGAGGATCGGTGTTGCTTCGGTCTTGGATAGCTTTTAGAGCGGACAGTGAGTCCGTAAACACCGAAACCTCGGCATGGTTTCCCTCAAGTGCCCACTTTAATGCGCGATCAATTGCAAACAGTTCAGTGAAAAATACACTGGCTGTTCTGCAGAGCTTAAATTTTCGGACGATGTGGGTGTGATTTGGTAGCATTATAATATAAGAGGCGCCAGTCTCTCCGGTGTCTTGTTTGCTCCCGTCGGTGAAAATACTGGGTGCATCTGGGTGTAACAGTTGGTCAGTTTCTTCTTGTGTGGAGACTTCCTCGAAGTTTATGGTGATTCTTTGCGCTGGGTGCAAAAGGTCTTTCACCTTGACTCTTCTATGCATCCTGATGTCATCCGGTAAATCCGGGGATAATCCTGTTTTCTTTGCAGTGTAGATTGCATGGGCTTCCTCAACTACGAGATGGAGAGGCGGAAATTGAGCCAGAGCCTCCGCCGCTACCGCCGATATCGTGTGAAATCCTCTAATCGCCCTGATGGCGAATCCTCTCTGAAAAGATCTGAGAGCCCGGCGCACAGAATGGAACTTGGTGGCCGTACCCCAAATTCCTGCAGCATAAGTAATCATAGGAACTATGACCTGCCGGTATATACACTCGACGTTTTCGGAGTGTATGCCCCATGTAGGTCTGACAAATTTACATAAAATATTAAAGATTTTAGTGGCCTTCTTTATTACGTAGTTAGCATGTTGAATGAAATTCAATCGGTCGTCTATGATTACTCCCAAAAACTTGATTTGGCTGGCCAGGGGTATATCAGAATTACCCATCTTAATTTTGCTTTGCCTGGCTTTAGCAGTGAAGGCGATTGCCTGTGTTTTTTCAGGTCCAAATTGTAATTTTACTGTTTCTCCCCAGCGGCCGATAGCGTTGAGGCATTCTGAGGCTATGGTTTCCACCTCCGCCCTAGACCCACCCCCCACTATGAGTAACACATCGTCAGCGAAGGCCTGGATGTGTGCCCCGGGAGGAAGAGGTGTAGAAAGGAGCTCGTCCAGTATAAGATTCCAGAAGATAGGGCCGCACACGGAACCCTGCACGCAGCCCTTGGTCATTGGCTTAGAAGCTGTACTATTGGCATAAGAGAGGGATACCTGTCTATCTGTAAAATAGCCCTGCACAAGTTGATATATATTCTTGGGACAATTAATGTGTTTCAGGCGCTCAAACAGGGCAGGCCACCACGCATTATCGAAAGCTGCTTTGATATCGAGGGATATTGCGGCTACCTCTTTCTTTCCGAATTTTGCGGTTTTGATGGTGTTGAGAGCATTAACTCTGTTCGTGTCACAAAGAAAGACTGCAATGCTTTTAGTATGTAGTAGCTATTTCCCTTATCTATAGTGTCATGTTTAATTGCTATGTTTGTGGTCTAGTGGTTCCTGTTACGTCGCATTTCCTGGATTCCATTTGCGGTCCGTTAATGAACAAAATGTTAATAATCCAAGAAATATTTTATTTTTACAAATTCCTGTGCATTTACCCGGATAGCGAAAGCCACTCGTTCGAATCCAGTTTAGGGCGAGTTGATTTTTTCTAGTAAAATTTTATTATAATATCTAATGTGTGGTTTACTAATTCTCTTTAGTTAATTATTTCAAGGACTTCTATAGTAGCATTAGCCAATTTTCTTAATCATGTGTTCAAGTAGGCAGCAGCCACTCGAATTGGAACGCCCGTCTGGAGAATTACTCTACCTGCACCATATAACACTATAAAAGAGTGTTATGTTCTTGCAATGAGTGGGGTTTTTAAAGCTCCATGGGGTCAGATGTGTGCAACGCTAAATGGTTTGCTACTGTCCTTTAAATTTAAAAGCGTCAATTAACAACTTTATATATCTTCAGTTAATTGCCAAACTTCAGTATATCACTTGAGACGGGTCGACCGATTTGGCTTTTTGTATTTTTCTGTGCTCGTAATTTCAATAAATGTGGAAAGTATGAATTTATTTTTGATAACTTGCCATAAGAAAATTCTGAAAACAGGATGGAGAAGGGGGTTTTAGTGTTATAAATGCAATTTTATTTTCATTTGTAAATTGATAGAAAGGCATCGCTTCCCTTGACGTAAGAGTGGGGACTATGATTTTTCCTATAAATGCAATATGTATTATTTTAATACACAAACTTTAACAATTAATAACAACTGAATTAGGAAAATTAAATATTTATTTGCTTATTCAACAAGTGCGCTTCAATAGTACCAACAAACAAAAATAAATATAAAAATACAATTTATTTACTGGAAGACAATTGATCATATCTATAGAATGATATATCAAAGTGTAAATAATGCTTTGATATTTACATAAAATAAACGTGCTACAAAAATAATAAACTTCTGATGAATTACTAAAGAATGTAACTGTGACACTTATAAATAAAAAACATAAAACCAACTTTGGCTAAGCAATCAAATTTTACTTTTTAAAACAGTCTCTTTCTTCGGTCAAATTATAATTATAGCCTTATCACGAAACGGTGGTTAAAACTGACGCCTTCTCTCTCTTTCACATCGGTAATAATAAATAAGGACCGCATTAATTCTAATATTCACAGTAAAGTGATAAAATTACTGTTGAGTAGGCATAGAAACAGCAGCTTTGGCGTGGGACACATCGCTTTGCCTCCAGAAGGACACAACCGTCTTCAATTCAGTGTAAAAGTCCAAACCTTGCTTGCCACAGAAGTGGTTTGTGCCCAAGAAGCTACCTCTAGTGCCAGAGAAAGAGAACATAGATAGAGGAACAGGGATGGGAACATTCACTCCGACTTGTCCCACGTCGATTTCATTGGCGAATTTTCTGGCTGTAGCTCCGTTGGTAGTGAAAACAGCTGTTCCGTTTCCGTATGGGTTGGAGTTGATCATCTTGATGGCTTCATCTAAAGTGTTTACGAATAAGCAAACAAGTACGGGTCCGAATATCTCCTCCCTGTAGCATTCCATTGCAGGCGTCACATCGGTAAGGATAGTTGGGCCGACGAAATTGCCCTTTTCGAAGCCAGACACTTTGACGCCTCGTCCGTCGAGTGCTAATTTCGCGCCTTCTTTTACGCCTGTAAAAGGAAATGATGAGTATTATCTATGTTTTATATTGTTGAAGGCTGGAACGATAAGTTAGCTAACATTTTCAAAAAAAAACTAACTGGCAACATGGTTTTGCGAGAAAGTAGTTTAGTGGTAACAGGAGTGAAACTAACATTTAATATATTAGTATCTATCAGAGCGCAAGTTCTCATCTTTTAGTACGAGAGCCCAGAACCAAAATTTTTGTCTCATAGCAATACGGCCAAAACCATATCAAATCGATAGATACGATTATCTTGAACTCGAAAATACCAATATCAGACATTTTCCGCGTAGCGTTTGATCTGACCGAATTTTCAAAATTGTCAAAGAATTTTACCGAACTGCATCATAGCAATATGTCTGATTTGCAGACTGTAGTTGAATGATAGTTCTGAGATACCGGAAACATATTTTTCAGACGTTAGTGGTGTAGCGCAAACCCGTAACATCACTTAAAAAAATTAAAAATGAGACAAAAAATGTCTCATAGCAATACGTCTGAAAATTTTTTTTATTAGTAAATTTTGGTTATTTGATGCGAACAAAACAATTTTCAGACGGAAATGTGAACGCATTAAATTTTGAGACCGTTTTGAAAATGTTAACAAATTTTACCGATCGGTATCATAGCAATATGTCTGAAAATTGTTGGACATGATAAAATAAGTTGTCCACATGTGCAAAAAATTTATATCAGACAAATTAAGTGTAGCACCTTCTCTATCAGACAACTTTTCGCTACTCAGATATCATTTAAAAATCGTATTGAGGCATCTTGAATTTTCTGTTACAAACCAATGAATACGTTGCGACCCTGAATTTATTAGATGATAATTAACAAAGAATTTACCCGAAACCGTAACATTAAAGTTGAAGGACTGAAATAAATCGTCATAGTTCAAAGTACATATAATAGACAAGGGAGATTCTTGAATATCTATGAAGGCTGTAAATTTAAAAACACATTTAACAGAGGCGTCGGCCAGGCGACTCCGAAACGTTATTTTCGTTTATGGGAGTATATGCTACCCTTAAAGTGTCTGAAAACAGGTTTTTGGTAATCATGGCAGCAATACGAAAAGTTGAAAAAAAAATTATCCGTATTGCTATGATACAGGTCGGCTAAAGGAGATGTCCTGTATTGGGCTATAGTAACTAACTTGCATATATTAAATTTAATTAATTAGAGGGCCCTAAAAGTAACTTATTTCTGCAAGTCATTTAATTCTCGAGATGACCGTTTTTTATAAATTCGTAATTTAGTTTCATGAAAATGAAATTGCGTTTAACGGTATAATGACACATTTTCTTGCTAAAAATGATCAACAATCAAATAATAAATCTATGAGTACACATATTTGAATAAAATAACCTAATATTCTTTTATTTTTAGTAGTTTTGACTAACGAAGTCTAGGGAGTTAGGCACTGCAAGTAACTAAATTCATGTGATCTAAAGCCAGTAAAAAAAAAAGTCAACTGACAGGTGACAAACAAGTCTTTACCTACTGGCTGTCAGTGTCATTCGTCATAGTTTTGAATTTAAGATTATGTGCCGTACATACTTGGTACATAATAATTTCTAAATAAATAATTTATTGATTAATGTAATATATGTGCGCTTAGAAATAAACCCATGTTACACGCATTTATTTTCATCAATGCATTTATATCAATTAGATACATATCTAATTAGGAAAATGACCTGTTTACATTAGGTATTAAAATTATTTTTCAAGGAATGAAAAGTCTAGGTGTTTATTTTTACCGTGCTTAATGAACTCATAATGCAAAGCTTATTTGATAAAAAAGGAGAGATATCTAGGATAATTATCTAATACCAAGAATATTAATACAATACAACAATATGAAAGGACATAGAAATATTTATTTGATAATAAGTAGATACATTAAAATAAAAACACTATTTTCTGATTTGTTTATTCATAATCTTCATTTTCAATATGTCTTATTAATATATAGTCAAGAAACTGTGCAGGTGGTGATATATCGTTTCGATGCCGAGCCCAACTAAGACACCAGACCATAGTCATCACATGAGCACAGCTTCCAACTGTTCTCTTACCAATTATACAGCTGCAATAATGTTCACAAATACAATCTTGCCAATCAGTGGCCCGTACTTTTAACAATATATTTGTGTATTACACTTTATTGCTCTGGTGCCGTGACTTAATTCTTCCACACGCACGAGAGAGCAGAAAATTCACCTCAACGAAAAATGCTTGACAGTGACAACCACTAGCCATAGCCACAGATTAGTACAAAAACATGTTTATAGTGCTGCCATTAGTAAAATTTTTCTTTTATCAAAGTAATACGTTTTATTTATTTAAAAATAATTGGGAATGGCCAAAATAATTTGTGCATTGGTTTTATACTTCATATTTTTATGGCTTTTAATTAAATATAATTTGGTGTTCGTTAGTTTACTCTTATAACAAAAAACCAAGCTCCTTGTAAAAAGAGGACATCTCCTTTGTTGACATTTTCAAAAATGCGCTCAGGCTATATGCTACGCGCAAAATGTCTGAAAACAAACTTTTTCGTAATACAATTATAAAATCTATGTACATTTTCACTATCAGACGTATTGCTATAATACCGACTGTCTTTTTTTTTGACACAGCAGAAATGGCCTCCCACGCAGTTGCTACACTTTCGACCGTTACTACACACCTAGTCGGGTTCAGAATCATACAATCTAACGATTTTATAGGGTTTTTGCCGTATTGCTATGAGACATGGTTTTGGTCGTGGGCTCTCGTACTATTTGATTCCTTACTAAGCAGGTAAAAGGAAATTATACTAGGGTAGGGTACTGTACCATTAGCACGAACCAATATCGAATTCGAATAGTTTGCGAGTTCTAAATGTCACTGTCAAATTTTGTATGGAAACTTGAACAGCAGCTCCACAACGGACGTGACGAAAACAAAAAATCAGTCCATATATAACGTATATAATAGATTAAATTCAATTGTGGTTCGTGCTAAGGGTCAGGTAAGAAGTTTGGTTTAAAATGACTAATGCGACGCACTTCATCATTGATTATTCGCCAACTAAACAATTTGAAATAAAGTAAGTACTACAAAATTATATACCTATGGGATTTTAGTAACAGTATTCTTATGTTTTTTTTTTAAGCATTTAATTGCTAGATGTTTAAATCTAATTGCTATTTCTTCTTTCAAATGTTTAATACTTGTAAAGGTATTCATTTAACATTGTGGGTTACCTACAATGCGAAGAGAGGGCGCTGCCTTGCAGCCCAAGGCTAGAGAAACTTCGACACGGCCGCCAGGGCCGCGGTAACATAATGGTCAATGCATTCGCCAGGATAGCGAAGGGTGCGGGTTCGAGTCGCGTTTGCTGTTTGTTGAACTTTTCATTAGATTTAAATATTATTCTTTTTATACCTGATTCCACCAGTCTGAGGATCCTGTTCTTCGCATTCGGTGAGATGACTGGCCCCACGTCAGTTCCGGGAACGTGGCCGGCGTTCACTTTGAGGTCTTGAGCACGTTTAACTAAATCTGGTATCCATTCCTTGGCTTCACCTGTGTGCAAAATTATCAAGTGTACAAACTTGGTATGACCTGTCGTAATTTTAACTCTACCCCCTCCCTCCCCTTATTAACAAATAAGAAAATGAGCTTGGATTAGTTACTCTATGTTTTTCTCTGTTAATTGAATTATAAATGGCACTTGAGATATAACATAGCGCAACTAGTCTAGTTTATTTAGCTTCTTTAAGCCGCAACGAACATAAGTGCTTAAACAAAACAAAAAACAAAATTCCGCGTGTTTTTTTTCTAGTCAACTTTTCTTTACATTTAAACATCTAAGCAGCTGTAGTAAAATGTTTAAAAAAATCATAAAAAAAAGTTTTTTTTTTCAGTGCGCGTTTTTTATCGATCCCGATTTGCGAACCCACGATCACATTATCCAAGGAGTACAACACCGATCGCACTACCCTTCTCTGGTTCTTCGAACCGAATTTGAATTATCGATCTTTTGGCTTACATAAACGAGATAATAGTGTTGGGTTAGCTTTTCTACTAATATAAAGCTTGTATGTTACTCAAAAACGGATTTGTATGACATTCGCCACAGATATAGTTTTTTATCTGGATTGAGACAAAAGAACTTTTTATCCCGGAAAAGTGTTAAGTTCCTGTGGAATTACGTCGGATTAGTGAGCAAATAAAATTAACTTTTAGATGATTCAAGGGGTACAGCCAGACTATCACTACATGTTTTGGTGCTTCGAACCGGATTTGTCTACATAGACACGATAATATAGCTGGGACTTTCTTATTTTAAAACGAATCTTACCGATGAATATACAGCACCACAAAACGCTATCGGCTGCGCCAAAAGCTGCGCCCATGAATTGATTCAAAGTGTTATGAATTTATCGATCTTTGTATACATACATATTCTATTATGCAAGGGCACTGGGAATTGAAACGGGCTGTACAACCCGGACCGTGCTACCTTTTTAGTCCTTCGAGCCGGATTTGAACTATAAATCTTTACTTATATTTTTTTTTTCAGATACCTAGTCAGGTCATAAATTCTGTCACATGCTTAATAAAAAATAATTGAAACAAGTTTATTCATTATGTAACCATTTATATACCAAAATGAACTTAACAAAACATAGATTCTTATGACAATAATGGTTCTTCAAAATGACCTCCGTGATTTTGAATACAGGCCTTCAATCTGCGCGGCCAGTCGTCTATCGGAGCACGAACGAGGTCCATGTCAATATCGGCTTAATCAAGGATGTCTTGAGTGACTCCAAATTGGGATGAGGCTTTAAGCACGCCTTTTCCTCCAAGTGTTGCCATATCTTGTAATCTAACGGACTCAAATCTAGACTGGAGGAGGGCCAGTCTTCGTGCCGGATGAATTCGATTTCACGCGCCGCCAGCCAGTCTTGTGTGCTCTTCGCTCTGAGCTGGCGCCGAATCTTTTTGGAATACCCAGAGCCTGTTATTGAACATGGTATGAGAAACAGGTTCCACAAGGTGCGTCAGGACTGTATTTTGATACACAACTGCATTCGTTTTTACACCTTTCTCACAAAAATGTACCTCTGTTTTTGTGAGAAAGATGCCCAAATAAGAAACTTCCAACCATACCATGAGCGAGGATGGAAAATGACCTCGTTGGACACGCGGAATACGTTTGCTCGCTTCTTCACTACTACACCTTATCATTCTGTTTGTTGTAGCTCTCTTCTACGATAAAAATTTTTTCATCCGAAAAAAGAATTTCCCGATATTTTTTTCCCGCGTACCGCTTTAACAAAGCGCGGCATCTCTTCAGTCTCAGGTCCATTAGACGAGCATTCAAATGATGTCCTGTTTTTCTTCGATATGCCCGAAGCCCTAAGTCTTAATTTAACACCCTTTTCACCGTGGTTCTGCTTAACCCCATCTGAAGGACCAACAGTTTCTGCTTACGTTTGGGATTTCTTTGAATTCGCGCCTTCACAGCTTTTATCACTGCTGGAGTCCTAACAGACCGAGGGCGACCACTTCTTGACCTGTCATCTACACTAGAGTCTTCATTGTATCGTTTGATGGTACTATAAACGAATATTTTGGTTATATTCAAATTTTTCAGTACGTCAAAAATTTGAATTAGCGCGTAACCGCAACGATTCAACGCAATAACTGCAACACGGTATTCTTTAAGCGTCCACTCCATATTTAAAAATGAGTAAAATTCTAAAAAGTATACATTTTTATTTTCATGAAGAATTCGAAATTCGAATTCAATAAACTTTTTTGTGGCCAGCATTCTAAAAGACAAGTTTTTACTGTGTGACAATTCTTATGACCTGACTGTGTATATTTTCTTTAGATATAAATCTTTAGATTACAGAGATAGAAAATAAATCTAAGTTCCGATTTTCTGTGTTCAAAATAAAGCTTACCGAGGAATATAGCGGGGCTTAGCGTCATTAAGCGTTGCGATTTAGACAAAATTTGGCAGTGATAGTTTGACTCTCGGGGAAGGACATAGTTTATATCTTAGGAATCACCCTTTAAAGGGGTGGAAGGTTGTACAATGGGAGCTAGTTTTTCCACGCAGACCAAGTCGCGGGCATCCGCTAGTTCTTTTATATATATATAGCTTACCGACGCATAAAGCGCTGTGCTACCGCCAGCTAAAAGCAGCGCCTGCGAATTGATTCAAAGGGTTGGCTTTCTTATATTGTTGCTTATCAGACGGGCTATTTATTATGTTTGTTTGCCACCCGGGTAGCGAATAAATAGAGCTTGTCGATCCTTGACATGTCTTTCTACTCATCAAAAACTTTCGTTTGACATAAATTTTGTTGATGTATTTCATAAATTACACATAAAATAAAAACCGGAAGTGACGTCATAATTTTGCACGCGGGCGAAATCAAGCAACTTCAGGGGTGTCAACCTCTAGTCCAATGGCTTTATTGTTCATACCCCAAAAATGATTCATGTATCTGATCCATAGGACTTTTATACAGCCGGCTCTCCGACTATAATGGGCCACCCGCTACTTCACCCACGTAAACTTTAATGTTTGGGATACCAAAGTTACCCTTAAAAATTAAATGTTTCAGGGATAAAAAGTGTCCTATGTCTCAATCTAGGTCATAAACTATATGCGTTCCAAAGGACATGGCTAAGAAGCTGCCCTTACGTGTATATTTATTTCGCACTAGCCCAAAACATTCTAATATTATTTTATTAATTTTAACGTGTTTATTATTCATATAAAACTTTCGTGAAATAATCAAATTATAAAAGTATACTTCATGTCTGTTTCAAAAGGAAAATAGTCCGTTTTACAAAAATAAATAACAATAAATGTACACAAATAATATTTGTGGTAGTAAATCGAGATAAACAATATTAAATCCAAACTCCTGAAAACTGTGGCACATTTGGCCCTAATTTTTATCATAACATATCACTAAAGACCTAATAATACGTTTTATTATTCTGATCAGGCTGTAGACAAGGCTGTATGATAATTAATTATTTGATTTTTGCAAATGAACGAAATAAAACTTGACAGACGAAACAAAACTCGTCGCCGTGACAGATTTCCTGTCACGCAGATGACAACAAATTATTTGTATTTATTTTTGCTCTAAAAATAATTTTTGTGGAGTGTTAGTCAGAGAAATGGGAGGAAAGATTCTAAGAAACTACGAAATTGATGGCTCTGTAAATAATTGGCACATCTTTTATCAATGGTAACAAGGTAATGACGTAATAGGAATTTTCATAATTATCAAGATTGTGATTTTATCAATAGTTCCTGAGCCGTTTTTCATGGAAATTATAAATATTCAGTCATTCAGCATTAAATATTACTAAGTACAATATTTCTACATTGTCTCTCATACAAAATTTTACCTTGTCCTTTCAACCAAATTCGTTTAGTAGCTTTCGCGTGATTCGATTAGCAAACATAAAAATTTTCACATTCATAATATTAGTAGGATCATAGTAATATTAGTTATTTACGGGATTGTTCCCATGTACCTTGTTTTTAGCGAGTTTTCGATATTTCGGCACTGTTGAAAGCGCCATGATCACGGAGTAACACACAAAAAATTACTACGTGGTATATGATAACAATCCCGTTAATAACTTATATTACTATAATGTTAGTGACCATGAAAGTTTAAAACAATATATTAGTAGGATCATATTAAAATGAATCTTACCGACGAAAATAGCGGTACTCAGCGCCATACAGCGCTGTCCGGCCGCACCGAAAGCTGCGCCCGCGAGTTGGTTCAAAGTGTGTTCCTTGTTTGCATCCGGCATTATGACGCCGTGGTTTTTCGCGCCCATGTTGCTTTGGACGCGTTTGCCTGTGTGTAAATATAATAATATCGTAAACAACGCTTACAAAAAAAAAACAGGTAATGATAGATAAATTCGCATAAAATATACCTAAACTATTTTCATTTTATTTTGTAACATGTTAAAATTAAAATTATAATTACTTTTTGACACTACCTACACTTTTAAAAATATATATGCTTGTCTGTCGTTTCGGTATTATTATATAATGTTTAAAGAAACAAGAATACCTGCAGCGGAAGCCCTGGAGTAAATATGCTTGCCAGCGGCATCTCCTCCCACGAAAGATACTGCCTTGATGTCAGGCTCATCGCATATGAAGTTCACTGCGTTATGGGTGCCATGGATTACCTGTTCAAAAATTAATAGAAATAAATGCCTGGAACGCGTGGATTTTTTCTAGTAAAATGTGCCGTTTGTCTTGATGGCGCTGACTTGCAGTCTAAGAAATACTAGAGGAAATTCGACACGGCCATTAGAGCCGCGGTTGCATAATGGTCAATGCTACCGCCAGGGGGCATTAAAACAATATCTGTTTAATGATTTTATAGAAAAGTTATAAATTATTGGTTGTTTCAGATTAGTAAAATCGCTGTTAGTATTCATATTAACTACAGATGCCAACAATTAGTACATTTTTTTTATACTGTCAATCTACTGTCTATCTATACAGTATTGTGACTCCGCCCTGTCCTTGAAATAAATGCCTACAGCCGAGCGCTGCGTTACACGCGGTAGGGCCGCCCGCCTACAGTATTTTATGTAGTTTTGTTTTTAACGCGAGTGTAGGTAGATTACTCGTTTGTCTCTTTTTTCATCCTAACCACTTATTTATATATTATTCCAGATATTTTGCCCGATGGAAAAACCGAAATACCTAAATATTAGAAACAAATTACGAACTAGTAGATAGGTATATAAAAAATATTCTATAAAGGTAAGACACCTTTCCAATATTTCAGGAAATTTAAAAAATGATATCTCTGGGTGTGTTATTGAAGAGTTCAAGCAACCAAAAACAGCAATTGTGCTGTTGTACGATATTGATCGTCGTTTGTTCTTTTCCATACTAAATTATGTAGGTATCTACTTAATTAAATCAAATATTAACAATACAAAACGCACGTTTAAGCACGGCTAACTGCATAAAAAACAATTCAGACCGTTCGGTCGTCGTTGCGGCGCGGCGGCACATTCGCGACTGGGTGCACGCCGAGAGCACATCGAACTCGAGTGGCGTAGATAAGACTCGCTTTCCGACCGTTTGTATGAAGATAGAATACTGTACGATATTATTACCGTGCTTCTGGGCAGGTTATAGTATACTTTTCATCACGCTACAATCAATAAAAGCACAGTAGTGAAGGGAAATGTTGGGAAAACGGGAGAAGTTACTCCATTTTTAAGCTTCCGTCGCGTGTGCAGTCTTAATGGTTAAAATTACATAGAAATCATGTATGACGGAAATATTCTACATAAAATTGTCTAAAAAATATCCCGCAATAGCATATGTCTATCTTTTATGGTTGACTCACAATAACAAGTGTAACTCCTCATAGCTTAGCAGTTCGGAGCATTCTGATTATATTTGTTTACTCTTACGTTTATAATACTCTCACTCATCCCTAATTTTAAAAAGTTAACATTATAACCTATTCAATAAAAAAATAATCATAGAAATCGGTATAGAAACACCAAAACTTATACATGAAATAAGCAATCGCGTCGTCGCACGTGAATACTAAATCATGCTATAAGGATTATTTTTGTGTAACGGTTGAAGCGCTCGACACGGGTCGCGGCGGCGGTAGGTATAAGAAGAATGTCATTGTGTATAATACAAGCCTGAGAAGAATAACTATAGTCTACACTTCAGCTCTACACCGAAGCGCAGCGAGGGCTGGCCACTAGTATACAAATAAAAATCTTGTCACGGTGTGCGTAATTGAACTACTCTGAAACGGCTCGACCGATTTTCGTGAAATTTTATATGCATATTCAGTAGGTCTGAGAATCGGACAACATCTATTTTTCATCCCCCTAAATGGTAAGGGTCCACCCTTAATTTTTTTTGGGCAAATTTTTTTGTTTTTATTTTTTTATGATACATCATACAAAAATTCATACAACCCTAAATTTTCATCCTTCTACCACCAACCCCTATTTTTTATGGCGGTACGAAGTTCGCTGGGACAGCTAGTATTTTAATAAATCTTATTGTCTTACTCTAATGGTACTGCAATGTAAGTGACAGATTTAACTCAAAAAATTTTGAATTGTGTCCCCGAGTGTGGTGTTGTTGCAGATGATAGTCAACCTTTTCTATATAATTGTATTTTACAAACGGAAATATTTAAATGATCCTTAAAACATATAATCTACATATACTCACATTGACGACGCCAGGGGGCGCTCCGGCCTCCTGTAGCAGTTCCATCATCATGAGGGTTGCTCCGGGGTCCTGTTCTGAGGGCTTCACTATACACGTGTTGCCGGTAACCAACGCCGGGGGGAACATCCATAGGGGAATCATCACGGGGAAATTAAATGCTGCCACACCTGCAACAAAAAAAAATTTGTTGCAAATCGTATAAATCCTCCATAAATTCCACCTTAAAGAAGACCACAGTAAAATACGACTGCCTTTTCAGTGAGTAAGGTTCCAGAGCTCCAAGGGGTAGGGGATTGGGTCAGGGTATGCAACGATATTTCTGGAATCGCAAATGTCTATACTCTATAGAGTCTATAGTATAGACCATGGAGGTTAGAGAGAAGGAGAACGATCGCTACGTGCTAAAGCATTAACCCATCTGTCCCCTGAATATTTGTAGAATTTATAGTTAATTTTTCAGCCACCAGCCGCGCTACCGTCGGTAAGTAGTATCTGCGAAGTTAGCTATTTATGAGTACAAGTAGATGAAGTTAGTTGAATAATGTACAAATTTCAAATTAGCGCACAACAGCCCGGTTTTATTGAGACAACTTAGCGATCGCAGCGCCTCACTTATTTTGTCCACATTTCTGGGACACAATTTTCTACAGCGATCGTTCTGCTTCTCTCTAACCTCCATGCGCTATGCGGCTTTGGCGGCTGCTTACCCTCAGGCGGGCCATACGCATTATTGTCACCCATTTAACATAAAAAATAATTGGCATTTAATTAAGATTGGTGTCGTCGACCGATTGAGATGTTGCAATAATTTAACTGCTAAAATCATCACTGAATTCAAATTCAATATCGTTCTATTCAGTCAGCTTTCAGCTTTCACTAGCAGTTATAAAAAGGTTCGCAAATCTACAGCGAGAGAAATTGTACTGAGAAGCAACAAGAAACTCAGCAATGCCTTTTTCCTTATGTTAGTTTCCTTGTTTATTATTTATGCAGTCGTTAGCACCTAGCAATCCGCACCGGGCCCGCGTGGTGGGTTATGGCTCAATCTCCCTATTCATTGTGGGGACATTAATAGGCTGGTGATTTATGTGATGTGATTATTTATTATATACAGAAACGTAAAATTGAAAAATGACTTCAATATGAGATACAGTGTGACCAAGATGTTGTGGCGCGTGGCCGAAATCGGAACTAATATTAGGAATAATGGCTCGATTACACTTGGTCGTTAGCCCGAATATGATTGACAATGGAATTCGAGTAAACGACTATAAAATAAAATAAAAAAAAAACAAAATTAGCCTTTATTGCTGTTAAATTATAAAACATATTCTTAATCTAATTAACTTTTGTTTTTATAATTCTAAATTATCAGCGTTCGGGTCATTATTTTTAGAAACAGCTTGTCTTTCGACATAGGCCTCCTCCAAAGATTTCCATTTTCCTCTATCTTTTGAACTCTGATCCATTTTGGACCAGCCACGAGTAAACGACTAAGTGTAAATGAATAAAGTCGAGTATATCGTCGTATTCGGGTACTTTTCGTTTACGTTAACCGACACCGTCTTCCAGCCCGTATTCCAGTGAAAATATGGCTTCGGGTTCCACCCGAATACGAATTCGGGTAATGTCTTTCATGCACCCGAATACGGGTTGACGACCGAGAGTAATTGAGCCATAAGCTTTTTATTTATAAAGGAAGATGTAAATAAACCCCTTTACATTTCCTATTACTCTTTCTGAGTTGTAAATGAGGATCCGTAACGATTTTAGTTGAGAATGCTGATTTATAGAGCTGAGTTTTCCATAAATTACGGTGGTTATATTTTTATTGTACGACAAAAATTGACGAAATTATGTCCAAACTACTAAGAATTTTCGGCTGACCGCGTGGTGGCTGTGATGTCACAGAGCTCTAACGCGCAGGCGCGAGCGTGCGTAGAGACGCTATTGAAGATTGACGGGAGTGAACCACGATCAAGCTCTGTGACGTCACATGTTTAGGCCGCCAGTGAATATTGGCTACCATAAAATTAGTTATAAAATCGCAACGAATGCACCGATTTCGATGATTTAAAAAGTATATTAATTAAAAAGCTTAGTACATCTTTATACTGTTGATTTTGAGTTGATTTGCTGACCTAGTAATGATCCTCATTATAACGTATTAGTGGGGATATTTTACGTACTTAGTATTCCTTATTTAACCACTTATTGATTGAGGACCTCCATGGCCGAGTGGTTTATACGCCGGGTTTCAAGGCGTCGCTTACTCGTGGGGCCAGATGTTTGTGTGACAAATACAAGCATCTACTCCAGTCATGGATGTTTAATATGTATTTATATACATATAAATATAAGTATATATGTATCATTCTATCCGCAACCCTAGCATCCCATAACACAAGCCTTACAGTGCTTACTTTGGGCCCAGGCTAATTGGCGTGCGAGTTGGAAATATTTATTTATTATTTCACCAGCGGCGCCCTCCCGTCAATTTCATCTAAGTGCCACAAGAACTTGATCGCACTGTAATTCATGATGTCATCTTCCAATACATAATTATGATTATTGTTTTTTTAAATAATTGTGGATACCACAGCTCTTACATAGTGCTGCTAATGACTACATAAGCATTCGGGAATAAGGGCCTATCGTGGAATCCGAATCATGGAGGATTTCGAGATAATATGTTTTGGTCACACATCTGACCATAAGAGGTTCTATAATGTATGAAAGTAAATATGGGTACAATGTTCTTGATAAGAGGTAGAATAGGCCCGCCCTGTCTTGTAAATAAGGTCCAATTATGAGAGTCCAGTGGGTACCATGTTTTTGATATGAGGTCGAATGGGTCCTATCGTGTAGGTAAGGTCCAACCACCAAGGTCCAGTGGGAACCCCCCTAAAGACTGGCATTTGCGAAAGTTGCTTATTATCCATGAAGGCAACACATACATTTTTGGTCAAATATGCTATAACCAGCTTTTGCGATATTACAAATAACCCCCGTTAACGCGATATTATCCCACATTATAATCAATTACATTATGGCTTACCCCCAACCACTCCCAATGGGACTTTGTAGCTATGTGTGTCCATATCTTTAGCGATGTTTTGAATGGAATCGCCCAATTGGAGCGAAGTTATACTGCAGCAATGCTCCACGGATTCTGAAATAAATTTAAAAGTTTAATTGTTAATAGACAATTAAACAGGATTTAATGGAAACACCAATCCTATTCATTCCTATTTATTTACTTCCTCAATATGCAGCCGTTCAACCTATTGTTCGCTTATTATTTTATAATAATTAAACTATAAGTCTAAAATATATGAATCTAAAGTAATTTTACGAGAAAAAACATCTACGCGGTCTGGCATCAGACGGAATTCGAACCCGCACCTTCCGCAATACGGGATGTAAAATTTTCTTAAGCTTATAAATAACAATATAATGCTTAAAATTAAAGAGACGAACTAAAATTCACAATTAAATTTTCATAATATGTGAAGTCTGTCACCAGAATTATTGTTGTTAGTCGAGCAAATCTTTCAAAAAATAAGTTGTAGCACCACGAGATAGAAGGTGGAACTCACTGTCTCGCTTACTCGATTAAAACTTTATTAAAAGTTTTTAGTCCAGTCAACAAGTTCAAAAACGTGAAAAATAGAGATAAAGCTCCTAAAAATATGAGCAATAGCTCATTGGATTCGGAACGACCTCTAGAAAAATGAGTTTTGAGGATTTTACTGCACGTAAAAAATTGCAATTGTTATTAACAAAATAAGATGAAAAAAAAGAGGTATTTACGTTTTTGTTAATAACTCATAAACTATTAATATTTACGATTTGGAAAAAAGGTCCTTAAAGAGGAGGAAATTTCCGAAAAAAAAGCCCCAGCTCCCGGAACTCTACCTCTATTATTTATAATTTTAATTTAACGCTGAAAATAGGGCTCCGCGCAGACATTACGGTATGGGCGCACTGCCGTTAAAGACAGTTTCTTACATAAAATTATTTTTTTATAGTAACAAATATGAATTTAAAAATTTAAATAAATTATGGTGTCATCCAGATACTTGAAAGAATATATTCCCGTTGGAAATTTTTTTTTAAATTAATTTTTCAAAAAGTTATGCAATTGTTAATTAACGAATTTTTTTCCTATCTCCGTTTTCATAAATGACGACATAAAAATTTAAATAATAAACCTAAAAATTTTTGGCTCTGTGGAGCTCTTCTTATATATATACTTAACAAGATCCCGCGATAAAAGTTTATTAAAGTTAATTATTTTGTTTATAACAATTTTTTAAAGTTAACAAAAAATGAAAAGTCTAAGAAATGTTATTAAAAAAATATTTTTAAACAAATGTTATATTATTGCTGCTTTCTTATCCAACAATGGCATTAAGTAACATCGGAAAAAAAATTTTTACATCATTTGTTAAGAAATTGTTTATAAACAAATAGACAAGTTTAATATTTAAAGAAATTTTTTTTTACCATTATGTTGTCTTGGCAAAATAATGATTTTTAAAAAAAAATTTTTTTCTTAAATAAATTTTTTTATTGTTTATAATCGTTTTTTTTTATATTTCGATTGTTTAAATAATTAGTTAAGGAATGATTTTCTCTTTAAAAATCATAATTGGCATTTCTTCATAGGTAAATAGAAAAAAAAAATTTTTTATCAATAATTTCATTGTTTGTTAACTTAACAATTTGTTATAAACAAATTCTAACTACCGTTATATTTTTTTTCTAGAGCTAAAAAAAATAGCAAAAACAGCCATATATATCATAATACTAAAAAAAATATTTTTCTATTTTTTATAACGCTTTTAAATATTACACGATACCAAAGTTGCACCGGACACTTGATTTGTCAAGTAAAAAATTAATATAACTTATAAACTATTCGAGATACGACAATGGACATTCAGGTCGTTTTTATAAAGCATTAATTAATCTTCAAAATAAGCTAAAAACCAAGTTTGTAACTATTGTTTATCAGCTAATACATGCATTTGTTTATAAAATTTTGAGAATTCTTTAACTTTTTCGTATCTCTTATGACTTACAACTTAATAAATAATTAAAATACAGCTATAAACCTTAAAACAATTTTGTTTAGCGATACATTATCTCCCAAATTATTAACTCGATGTTAAATTGAACACGAGTTAAATAAATATTAATTAAATCACGTATATTGTTTAAACAATTAGAGATGGAGGTACGATTAATTGATAATTTGGGAGATAATGTATCGCTAAACAAAATTGTTTTAAGGTTTATAGCTGTATTTTAATTATTTATTAAGTTGTAAGTCATAAGAGATACGAAAAAGTTAAAGAATTCTCAAAATTTTATAAACAAATGCATGTATTAGCTGATAAACAATAGTTACAAACTTGGTTTTTAGCTTATTTTGAAGATTAATTAATGCTTTATAAAAACGACCTGAATGTCCATTGTCGTATCTCGAATAGTTTATAAGTTATATTAATTTTTTACTTGACAAATCAAGTGTCCGGTGCAACTTTGGTATCGTGTAATATTTAAAAGCGTTATAAAAAATAGAAAAATATTTTTTTTAGTATTTTGATATATATGGCTGTTTTTGCTATTTTTTTTAGCTCTAGAAAAAAAATATAACGGTAGTTAGAATTTGTTTATAACAAATTGTTAAGTTAACAAACAATGAAATTATTGATAAAATTTTTTTTTTTTTCTATTTACCTATGAAGAAATGCCAATTATGATTTTTAAAGAGAAAATCATTCCTTAACTAATTATTTAAACAATCGAAATATAAAAAAAAACGATTATAAACAATAAAAAAAAATATTTAAGAAATTTTTTTTTTTTAAAATCATTATTTTGCCAAGACAACATAATGGTAAAAAAAAATTTCTTTAAATATTAAACTTGTCTATTTGTTTATAAACAATTTCTTAACAAATGATGTAAAATTTTTTTTTCCGATGTTACTTAATGCCATTGTTGGATAAGAAAGCAGCAATAATATAACATTTGTTTAAAAATATTTTTTTAATAACATTTCTTAGACTTTTCATTTTTTGTTAACTTTAAAAAATTGTTATAAACAAAATAATTAACCTTAATAAACTTTTATCGCGGGATCTTGTTAAGTATATATATAAGAAGAGCTCCACAGAGCCAAAAATTTATAGGTTTATTATTTAAATTTTTATGTCGTCATTTATGAAAACGGAGATAGGAAAAAAATTCGTTAATTAACAATTGCATAACTTTTTGAAAAATTAATTTAAAAAAATTTTTCCAACGGGAATATATTCTTTCAAGTATCTGGATGACACCATAATTTATTTAAATTTTTAAATTCATATTTGTTACTATAAAAAAATAATTTTATGTAAGAAACTGTCTTTAACGGCAGTGCGCCCATGCCGTAATGGCTGCGCGGAGCCCTATTTTCAGCGTTAAATTAAAATTATAAATAATAGAGGTAGAGTTCCGGGAGCTGGGACTTTTTTTTCGTAAATTTCCTCCTCTTTAAGGACCTTTTTTCCAAATATCGTAAATATTAATAGTTTATGAGTTATTAACAAAAACGTAAATACCTCTTTTTTTTCATCTTATTTTGTTAATAACAATTGCAATTTTTTACGTGCAGTAAAATCCTCAAAACTCATTTTTCTAGAGGTCGTTCCGAATCCAATGAGCTATTGCTCATATTTTTAGGAGCTTTATCTCTATTTTTCACGTTTTTGAACTTGTTGACTGGACTATTTATTAAAGTAGCTGAAGTAGCTGAGTAAGACTATATTTCTATCCGATGCAAGGAAAAATACGGCATGCTCTTACATGCCGTATTTTCCCTTTTTGATTAAATCTAAGTATGTATTAAACTAATGCTTTGATTTGACTCCCTTATTAACAAGAAAAGAATAAACTTGCGACAGTAATGACTTGAAATTAGACTGTTTATTTTCGTTTTCATTTTCGATTCTTCATCGATGATAAACCGAAAATGAAATTATAGTTAATCAATTATATTTTTCATTATATATTGAAGTTCATCGGAATATGTCCTTTTGATAAAAGCTTCTGACTCCTGATTGTTTTCACTAGCATCGATCATGCATCTGCCATCATTAATCGGCAATGAACGACAAGTGAAACATTCATCCCTTTCACTGTCTCGGTATTCATTTTTTAATTATATTTAATCATAAAATTAATACCGAGTTATTACTCGACACATATATTTTTCACGCGGGAATTCCACAAGGAATTGAATATTAGCTTCCATCAAAAGTAATGCGTCTGTACAAAAAATGCATTTCACTGTTCATCATTCACAAATCACTTGATGAACCGTCTAATTTCGCCTTAACACAGTGTTTTGTTTTCATCATCATTTATATTTTGGTCAATAGAGTTATTTATAAGGGGCAAGTGAATTGCAAGGAACTGCTGACCTTATAACGGGCCTTATCTGCATATTACACAATGATTGTGCTTGTATTACATTAAATTATTGCAGATATTTTAATGAAGCATTATGATGTTCTAATATCATGAGATGGAAGTATTTCAAATAAATAAAGAACAATAGTTCGTTAACAATAATTATAAACATAAGGTAACAATGATTTAGATTCCGAGGAAGCTCACATACAAAGGAGATTGCTCAGCTTCCATACATGTTTGGCCTAAAGACCAATAATCATGAAAAATTGTTTCCTAGATTCGAAATTATATATAAATTACTGTAGAAACGAATATTATTGACGGACACCCCTGAGAAGTTCTATAAACCATATACACTGAATGATTTTGAGGTTATGTTTACAAATAGGTACATAGGTATTAAAATAATAAAAAAACAAATAAGTTATGTAGTAAAAAAGGGAAATCAAGCCAAGTACTGAAATTATGTATTATATTCAGGTATATAGAGCACGTAGATTAACAGATAGTTGCCTGTTTTTAAAGTTATTGCACAAGAGTATCTTTTAAAATCTTCATCTATGCATTTCCGGTTATAATAAGGAACTCTGTGACAGAAACTGTGTAATGATTGGGAATGAGCCACAGATTAGAGAGAATTTTTAAACTCTCGTTAACCAAAAAAAGCTAAGAGATTTAGGTTATACAGCCATTTCTTCAGTAGCTTCATTATTTTTGTTATGTTTTTATTATAACCATATTTGAGAATTTTAGTGTATCACACCTTATAATGTGTTTATGGAGGTGTTTGGCGAAAAATGTATGGCAATAGACTTTATGATGTCGCCTACCATCTATAATAATTGTCTTAGCACATTTGCATGTAGTGAAAATGATAATATAGTTGTAGATATTAATGCCACAGTATAATAAAAAAATCGATCTTTACAAAATAGATTTGTTTTGATGATATATAAACAGCTTCGATCAGTCTTTGGCTGATTGTTACTACACCCTTAGCTATTAAAAGTGATTTGTATGTTTTCTAAACCGGTAATATTAAAAGTCCTTTTTAAAATGAATATATTATACAAAGGTGTCCGTTAAAATCTAATGACTGTAAAATAAAGTATAAATTACGCCAAGAATTACCGTATATGTCAATTTATTTTTTGTACATTTGGGCCAATTTGAGCAATCTCCTTTCTGATTTCTGTATTAACATTGTATTTTATCGTATGCCTACTGTATTAGCAAATAAAAACATAAATTATATTACAATGACTACTACTATAACGTCTACCACCAATGAGTCACTCAGTTAACTCCATATAAACTCTAACTAAATCGAAAGGTATGCTGCCTAATCCTTCTCGGTGCAGGAAATCACTTGATATTTCTAAAAATAGGGTATGACAGATAAAATAGTGACAAATTAATGTAAAGCATGTAATTGATGCTTATCTTGCTTGTATTTCAATTAAAGCAAAATTAGATGGATAATATATTTGAAGACATTCTTAATAAATTTAAACAGTAGGGTCATTTTGAACAAATTATACTTTGCAACACCTACCTAGATACAAGGCAGCGCCATCTCTTCGCATTATAGGTAACCCACAATGCGAAGAGATGGCGCTGCCTTGTTAAGTTTAAGAATGGCTAGAGGAATTTCGAAACGGTCCGTGAGGGCCGCGGTGGCATAATTGGTCAGTGCATTCGCCCGGATTGCGAAGGGTGCGGGTTCGAGTCCCGTCTGCTGCCTGGTCCGCGTGGAATTTTTTCTAGTTATATTTTCTTTAGATTTAAACATCAAGCAGTTACATGCTTTAAAAAAATAAAAATTAAAACTTATGCTGTTTATTTTGTCAAGCTCTATCGATTTGTGAACTGAATCCCATGAAAATTTTAAAAATAAGATACTGAAATCTTATTTTTTGAATAATAAAATCAAAGCTAAACTTACGTATTCCCCTCAACACATCACCCTCGGCATCGGCTATGGTCTTTCCTTGTTCCTCAGTGATTTTTGCTGCCAGCTTAGCTTGGTTTTCTCTCAATAAACGGGCAAATCTGAATTTGGGAAGTTACGAATATGTTAAAAAGGTATCCTACTATATATTACTTTTTTTATTTTCATAAAAAAAACATTAAGAATGAGAAAACCTTACTTGAACATTAGCTGTTGGCGGGTCATTATAGTGCTCTGGCTCCATGATTTGTATGCCTTTTTAGCTGCTTCAAGTGCTGAATTTAACTCTTCTTGTGTCGCTTCTGGTACTCTATAACAAATTCCCAATAATAATTATGATTAATTATAATAATGAAATATAAACAAATACTATGGATATTCAAAATATTTTTTACATAAGTACCCTTATCATGAGAGTGGTACCTGCTAGACAATTAATATGAACAGATAAGACAAAATATTATTATTAGTAATATTTTAAAAAACAAAATCTTAAAAATACAAAAAAGTGTTTTTTTATTTACAAACGATCCTACTCAAATCAACACTTTATGTTGATGTTAAAGAAATGTTAAAAGTGCCCAAACAAAGTGAATTATATATCTTGCCATCATAAAATTAGCAAGATCACAATATGTTTCGCAATGATGTTTTATGTAATTATTGTATGATATTATAAGACTCATATCTCACTAGGCAAATGTGAAAGATAACAAAAACCAAAACAAGATATGGGCAAAGTCATACATAACGAAGCTCAACATGTGATTTTGTTTAAGTGATAAGATATTTAGTGTTACTATGTTGGATATCAAAAAAATTTAAATGAAAGTAGTATGTAATTTATTTGTTACAAAAATAAGGATGGTGAACCAGTTATGGTTATGTTCATGAAACAATTAATTTAGCAATAGTTATTTAGGTATTAATCACTCAATCACACTTGGTTGTTAGCCCGAATATAAGTCCTTTGGAAATCAGGTAAACAACCAATTGTAAATATACATTTGGGTAAATTTCTTTTTGTTTACCCAACACCGACTTCTAGCCAATATTCTTGTGTAAATATTGCTGCAGTGCCCAAATATAAATAATGTCTTTCCTGCACCTAAATATGGACTAACAACCAAATGTAACAGGCATAGAGAGCACGGGATTAAATGAAAAAAAATATGAAAATTTAACAAGAAGCAGGCAATCTATACTAATATTATAAAGCAGTAAACATTATGCAATTGTTATTTTAATAATTGTGGGGGTGGGGGGGTATACACATATTGAAAATCCTTTCATCAATAGAAAGCTGTGTTATTTGTGAGTGTCATATCCTCATATATTAACCCGAAAAAAACTTCAATGCAGACTAAGTCCCAGGCAGTACTATTAATTTATAAACTATCAGTAATGTTGTTTAAAAATATAACTCCTTTAGGTTATACAACTGTTTTACTGAGGTACTATACCTATAACAATGTTCAAACTGAAACAATCACAAAGTTCATGAATTAACATCAATTTTAAATTAAGATTTATGCTAATTCTTAATGGTATGTCTAGTAAAGCCATTTAAAAAAAAACTGTGAATAACTAATATATGCACACACGGACTTAAAGTATATATTTTTTTAGTTTGTTTAACAGTAAAACTGAATAATAAACTCAAACAGGGTAATTTTAATTTAAACATAAGTAAAAAAATCATTTTTTTTTCACATCAAATGAACATTTTTGTCCTTTACCTATTTTACATTTTATAAGTTTCCATGAAATCTCAACTTATTTCATATTTTGTTCATTGTAATATTTAAAATATCCCTATATATGCATGTAATAAGTAAGTAAGGTAATTAAAGGGGCTCATGAGGAAATTATTTAAAATGATTCATCATCATCATCAGCCTATTAATGTCGTGGGGACACTGGGGCACAGGCCTTCCCTATGGATGGATTAGGGAGATTGGGCCATGAACCACTACGCGGGCCCAGTATGGGTTGCTAACGACTGCAGATGCAGCCGGGACCAATGGCTTAACATGCCTTCCGAAGCACGGAGGAACTCGAGATAGTAAATTTTTTGTCACCCATCCAATGAATGACCACTGCCAAAGTTGCTCATCTTCAACAACCGCAGCTGCACGCGCTAACCACTTGTGCCATCGAGCTCCTCATCCTCCTTTCCGCTCCTCCTTAAAATGATTACCTGCCAATAACTTCGTTTGTAGCTGGATTTGTGAGTTCAATCCAATTGCTTGTCTTAGACTCTACATATTGCCCATCAATATAAAGTTTGGTTGTCGGTGCTGCGCTACTGTAACTTCGTATCAGTAAATGTGACTGAAAAGTAGAAAAGTAATTTTTAAATATCATTATCTATTTTTATTAATACAATAACAGAAATAATAATATTCAGCTATAACTTATACTTAACAAAACACTGAACTACTTACAGTTTTATTTTATATTTTATGCAAACAGATTGAATTTAATATTGGTTAAAAAATAGTAATAATTTTACTACTTTTTTTACTACATTAAATTTAATGTGTCTGAAATAAACAGAACACAAATAAGGTAATTATCATCATTTTTAGTTTATATTTCTATTTTCCATAAAAATAATTTTACTGTAATTACGCCAAAGTACTTGCTATTGTAGGAGGTATTATTAGGGCTATGGATAAGTATTATGAGTTCATTATTTTGATTGAAGTAACAAAGATAAAAAATTGAGAGACAGTGCAAATTCACTTTTAACACAACATTTAGATTCAATTTATCAAAAAACCAAATAGAGTGAATTGCTATTCAAGGTAATGGGCAGGGTTCCATTAAATATTTATATCTGGCCGGCTACGTACCGGTAGGTTTCACAAGGTAAATTACTCAGTTATCGTAAAAATATTTGATTATTTTACTTACCTCGGACTTCAGCAACTTTAACATCGTGGAAGCCATGGCTGCTATCGATTTAATTGGCAAAAGAAATGCAGCGTATTATCACGCGTCAGAAGGCGGGTTGGGGGCCAAGCCAACTGATTAAAATACGTATGTTTTTGACCTTGATTTGATTTAATACCTACATTGTCGTCACAATTAACATAAAAACAGTCCCTTTCGTTCGATGTTTATCACAATTTGACATTGACTTATGATACGGAAATACGTTCCATTTCTTAAACTTAAACTATAAATAAAACTTTAAAACAGTGTTGATTTTGTTCTAAATATTAATAAACAAACACTATTGATCTTCACATTGACTAATTAAATAGGTATGTATGTTAAATTGTTACCACATTTAAGCTCATAATCCTTCTTGGAGCTTGTGGTAAATAGTTACTTTTTAATTTTGGTAGAATGGAGCGTTGTAATGTTGCCAGGTCAGCCAGAGCACTGAAGAAAACAGGAGAAAGCTTTATGGGGCGTTTAGGTTTATGGAATGATGCAAAGTGGTTCGAACTTTTTTGTATGGAATCTGGCCTATCGATACCCTATTATACGAGTATAGGACGATCGACATATGAGTCGGTCTGTCGGTAACGTGACACTTTGGGGTACTATGTTACTTGCCATTTTTTGTTCGATTATGTGTCCTCTACCCATACATAGGTATCACTTTCATCGAGCGCCACGAAAAATAATGAAAATGGCGTTGCGGGTCGTTAATCCAGATCGGTTCTATCCTCCTTTCTCATTTCAGCGGGTTTTAAATTCAACACAGAAATCGTAAATTTTTATTTATTTCTATGGTTTTAAGCTAAGGACCGTTACATCTTACCTAGTTCCTTTATCTTACCATTTATGATCAGACCTTTTAATTTATACTTTTGAGTTCTTACGCGAAATATTATTTAATTTACAATTTTAACTATGCAGTTTCACGCAACAAGATATTTAAAGAAATTTTGGATGTAACACTTTTTGTTGTTACTTGTACTTGGTTTCCTTGCAATATGTATTACACGGTAACCTATCTAAAAAGTAGGTACGTTATTTAATGATAATGAAGAACTACATAATTTGTTCATTTAAATGAACATCATGGACGGGTCAACGCCAAAACGATCATCATAGCGTGCCGCTTTTATGAAGGATGACTCACGCTACACCGAGTCGGTTATGAGTTATTGTGTATTAGAAAAGTAATGAAAAGTGGATAAATTTTTCACCGTACGCCCTTGTGAGTGTAGCGAAATGACCAAGGTGTAGAGTTTGTGAAGTTAGGCCTCATAGAGTTAAGGCGTGTAGAGTTAGAAGCTTGGCTGTATACGAAATATGATAACTTTTTGATAGTGCAAGTCGTATGGTCTCGGCAGCGTTACAAGATTGGGGTTTTTTCGCAATTCTGGCCTAAAAATTAACTCTTGAGAAAAAATTGGAGAAATAGTATCCTTAGGAAAAGTGTTGGGGAAAAAAAATATTATGGGGAATTTTTGGGGTTAGCACTTCTAAACATACAAGGCAATGAACGTCGAACGTCCTTTTCATTCAAATAACATCCTGGATAATATGCAAGAATCCAGAACCATTTTAAAATAGTCTAGCTAGTTAGTCTATGATTTTAAACCATGGAAAAAAGCCGAGCTGGCGAGTTTTGTGTTCACAAAGTTGGAACAAACCAGAAAAATAGAGTAAAACTAGAGTTATTTGATTACGATTATGTGTATCAACATACAGAAGAAGAAAATGAGACTGAAGAAGTACTTTATATATTGAATGAAGAGTTAATGACTATATATAAGACATTTCAATTTTATATTATTATTTTTGTAACGAAGCTATTGGAGGTTCTTTTTAGGTTCTTTTGGGGAAATATAAAAATGCATCTGGCCACCCTGAGTCTCATCTTGGCAACATTTTACGTGAAAATGTTTTTGGTGGGATGGATCTTATTTCCAAATTCAGCCTCGAATGTACACATACATACTTTACTAAAACGCAGAAAATAAATAACAATAATTCGGATAAATAAAATCAACCATCTTTTGGTTAACATGCGTGATGTGTGAATGTGTTACAATGTCTCGCTTTTCTGCAATTTGTGTGAGTGATTTCATGAAATGGGATGGAAGTGTGTAACAGGAAGTCGCGAAAGCGCGCGCTATTTGATTTGATTTTAGAACATAATGTAGGTACTCACATTATGAAATTCCAAAAAAAATACCCAATACTGGCAGAGATTGTGAGAATCCGTTCCGTATTTTTAGGTACCTATTTATGGTAATTGTAATTACATAATAATATAAAATGTCTCCTTAGGTTTCAATTATGAGGAAATTCTTCTTATCATTACGTACTGTTCTCAGTTAATGGTTTTTACGATTAGGTACCTATCTACCTTAAAACCGTTGTAAATTCTTTATCGGTGATGTTTATTTTTTGCCACAGTCTGTTGATATTTAGGAGCGAACTAAAATTGTATCCGGTAGGGTTGTCAAAGTTGGGTTACAAAGAGACCGTTGATTGTACGAATAACGAACGACTGTTGATAAATCAACACTTGATCAAACACGTCATACCAACTCAGGCGTTTCATACAAGCAGTTGCACTGTATAATCCAGTTCTTCTGTAGTGTAATCAGATGGCTGTTTTCTATAATAAATAATAATTAAAAGAATTCGACGACCTCCGTGGTCCGTGGTGGAATGGTATGTACACCGGATTTCAAAGTGTCGCCTACTGAAGTACTGGGTTTGAATCCCGATCTGGCCCCCCCATTACAGCACAGTCACAGAATACAGAAGGAGCTGTGACTATCAGAAATATTTATAATGACCCTACTAAAGGAAAACAGGTCATTGATATACACTAGAAACAATGTAGGGCCAAGAATGCTGCCTTGTGGCATACCGTACTCTATGTGGCAATCAGCACTCTTTACACCATTTATCGTGACAGACTAAGTACGATGTGAGAGGTTACTACGACACATCATTAGTTGCTTCCATCTAACACCCCATCTTTTCAGTTTATTAAGCAGGAAAGGGAACAGAAACTGTGTCGAACGCTTTGGCAAGGTCTAGGATATAGATGTAAGGCCGGTTTAAAACCAATTAAACCAATCCGTTTAAAACAAAAAAAAACCGTTTAAAACCGAAATAAACCATTATTTTCGATTTAAAACGATTGGTGTTGATGATGTCAACACCAAAAAAAATGAAAAAAATGTTGGTATTGTGTTAATGTTGTCTTTTATTTTAATCTAGTGTGTGTTATATAATATATGTATAATAAACAAGTGCTTAAGTATGAAAGTACCTATATACCTACTTAAATTTTCATGGTACCTAGGTAATGTACGTAGGTCAATGATATTATATAAACAAGAAGTTTATAATATATCATTGACGTAGGTACTTTCTATTGATTTTCTTTATACGAACCATGACGTCAGGTGACTAAAAATTGACCATAATGAAGTATAAAAACATAGTTCTTTTATTTTTGTATGTCAGTTTTCAACCGTTTATAACGATTTATTTGGGGTTTAAAACGGCAACATTTTGTTTAAAACGTTTTAAATCGGTTGTTTTACATCTATAGTCTAGGAAAACGGACATAACTTTTCTGTTTCCAGCTATTGGCATAAAAATTGCCACCTTTATACATATAATATCAGAAATTTTCAAACTTTTGCTCTCAGATTACAAAGCTTTATCATTATTATATGAGAAATTGAATGCTCATTTTGAGTCTATTTTTTATATGTTTATCTTTCCTGTATGCCTGATATTATTAATAGAAGGTTGTTATCTTGATAAGTATCGAAACCTAACCCTTTGACCCCAATGAATGAAAAAAACAAACGTAGGGTACGGTAAACTTAGAACTGTGTTATTAAAAGAAACTTAGCTTGCCTTATTATAAAATATAGCAAAGATTAAAACCTATATTCCTTTCTGAAAATTTGCTAAGAATATTATAGGATTGTACTTGGAAGCTTTTAACTAACTGAACGAACATAATTAAACACTACAAATTTTACCTTATTATGTAGTACAGCTATACTCTAAGTGTGTTCCGCGGAACCCTAGGGTTCCGTGATACCTCTGTCGGGGTTCCGCAAGAATTTAGAAATAAAAAAATCAAAACACCTCTCTCTGGTCGCTCCGCGGCTGTGCGGACTCCGCGGCCGCGCGGAGACAAAACGCTATGAATGTTATTTATTTATTTATTTGTATTTGTATAAGCTTGTGTTACATTAGCTGGTACAATATCTCATAAGTTTGGTCTCAACAATTTTATACTTGTACAACGCGTTCGCTCTAAGTTTGCCGGTCTGTGGAATGCGCGTACCCTCCCCCACGTGACAACAAAACTTATAATGTGTCATAGTTTTACCCAAATATCTAACGTACACAATTTTTATTGTTACAATTAAATAAAAAATTTCGAACGTCATACACTCATACCTATCGCCAGCGGCAAACTTAAAACGAGCGGGTAGGTATACTTGTAAGCGCTCAGTCTCTTTGATAAAAGCCGCCTCTGAATTAGACGCTATAGTTGTCAACTAGCGACTTTCGTCTCTAACTTCAAAGGATAAAGTCGATATTGTTTACAACGCTATTTTTAAATTTCTGTTTTTATTTTTGCTTTTTGTTTATCAAAGGTGCCGACTCGAGTATTTTCGAGAATATTTGAGATCGAGTCTAGGACTAAGTATAAAAGCGGCGATCGCGCGTTGGCGTCGTCAGTTGATGATTAGCGTTCGGAGCGATAAGTTACTACCTACTTACAAGCTCGCTAGCGAGAAACTGGTGTTCATTGTTTTACTGCCTGCTGTATTCTGTTGTCTCAGTTTTATACATTTCTTCCCTGTAGGTTCTAAATTTAGTCTCTTATACGCAGTAACGATTGTGCATTATTTAAACCCCACTATCCTGACTTGTAACATTATAAATAAAGAAGAATGGAACGTTGGCTTAAAGGTGTTAAACGTGTTCCAACAACATCTTCTAATGACGCTGAATGTTCAAAAGCAATGCGCGCGGAGAATTTAGCAATCACCGATCCAGAAGATGATGCCACGAGTGCCACGACGTCAAGCTCGACGGTTTCAAAGACGAAAAAAAGGAAGTATGATGAATCTTATATCAGTTTCGGATTTGTTGATTC